ACACATCTATCCATTACCATATTCATAATGAGATATAAGGATTTACCATATATCTTACCAATTGCTTACAGCACATTCAGCAACAGAGCAAAAGCTTTCCTCAAGAACTCAGGAACTAATAATGGAGAATAGTAAAGAAGAATAGATAATGCACATGAATTTGCAAATCGTAACAGTGATTATCGAGTAACGCTGAAATCAAGTAGCTTCTGTACATAAAAGTCGGATTGAAAACCGTTTTCCATATCAATAAAGCGTGAGCACCCAGTTGAACGATCTTTGAAATAGTTTGCATTAAAGAATATTCAATAATACAAATTTCATAGTATCTGAAAAGGGTGTTCAGATGTTGTTTACATCTCAGGTTAAAGTTAACAGTATGTTATTCAGGATTAATTGTGAGACCACTAAAAATACACATAGTCCGTAACTCTTTATTATTAGTGAAGCGATCTCATCTTAAATCTTCTCTGTATATGAACCGTTTTACCAGTAAATATTTTGAGATTTGGAGTGATTTGCCTTAATCTGTCCGTGAAATCAAACCAGTGTTTTATCTTTATTATTATCGAGACCATTCATCAAACCTCTCTGCCTGTAAATATCTTACACTTATACCGTTCCTGGTAAACTTCACCGATTTAAATCTGATTTATCCTTAACAGTAGATCACAATACAACCTCAAACATACACAACAAAAGACTGATCATAGTAATTATTACTGTTGTTCTGCACTTAATGTTTCCAATATTTCTCTGATTGTGATCACTCTGTTATGGCACTGGTAATGACATCCGATCCACTGCCTCTATATGAACAGGATGTCCACTAACAGGAATTTAATGGTTACCGACATTTCTAGAACGATTCATTCACTTGACTTGTTATAAGTGTAAAGAAATTCCGATGATAACAAATATAATGAGTTGAGAAACATTGGATACGGAATTCGATTGTCAAACGGTTAGTTTTTCAATGGCTGCTTTACATAAGCATTTGGGCGACATCATCAGCGAGATTCCACCTGAGTATATATATATATATATATTATTGAATGGAATAAGAGAATGACTGTACAATTAATAATGATTAGCTTAAGATATAAATGTAAAATGAAGGCACTGAGCTTCTTAAATTTACTTGCTTACGTCTGTTACTCCTCGTGGAGGAGCATAGGCTGACCACCAGCACTGTACATCCAACTCTGTCCTAATCACTCTTTTCCAGTTATTTCCAGTTGTTATTCATCTTTTCATGTCTGATTCTATTTCCCGAAGTAATGTGTCCTTTGACCTTCCTCTTTTCCGTTCCCCTTCAGCATCCCAAGTTAGGGTTTATCTCGTGAGGCAGGTTGATGATTTCCGTAATTTATGTCCTATCTACTTCCAAATTCTTTTCCTTATTTCCTCTTCAATTGGAAGCTGGTTTGTTCTTTCCCACAGAAAGCTGTTTCTGATGGTATCCGGCCAATGGATGTTGATTATTTTGCGTAGACAGCTATTTATAAATACTTGTACCTTCTTGATGATGATTGTAGTGGTTCTCCATGTTTCAGCTTCGTATAGTAGAACTGTCTTGACGCTAACCAGAACTCCATACACACAAAGACAAATTAATCATTTGAATCTGATCATATAGATAAAAGGTTTGTAAGTGTTTATTTAGTTTACGACGGACTTATCAAAGGAATTTCACAATAAAATTACTAGTTATAGATATCAGTTCCAGGGTTGGACGTGATAATTCCAAATAATATAAGAAGGAGTTTTTGTGGATATTATAGTAATTCTAATAGTTGAATGCATGAGTCAATTGAAGTTAGACCACTATGGAAAACCTGGAAGCACTGGACGGACGTCTCGTCCTAGGATGGGACTCCTCAAAGGTGTGCATCCACGATCCCGTCTCGCGAGATTTGAACCTCGGAACCTTCCAGGTTTTCCATGGTGGTCTAGCTTCAATTGACTCATAATCTCAGCTATTAAAATTTCAAATAAATTGAGCACTCGGTAGAGAGTTAATAACAAATATATTTTATTCCTAATGAGTAGAAAAATTGCATTCTAAAGTTTCGTCACTTATTGCAAGTCACTTCCTCAGAGTAAATAAATTAACAAAAGTTTAAACAAAGCATTCATATGAACAAATTCAGATAAAGACAGCCAGTGTAGCAGCAGTCTCTGCATCAGTAGGCCTCAGTATACACAAGGGGAAAACCAAAATCCTCAAATTCAAAGCGGAGAACACCAATCCAATCACACTTGATGGCGAAACTCTGGAAGATGTAGAATCCTTCACATACCTGGGAAGCATAATTGATGGACAAAGAGGTTCAGATACAGACGTAAAGTCGAGTATTGGAAAAGCAAGGACCGCATTCCTACAATCGAAGAACATATGGAACTTGAAACAACTTTCAACCAATATCAAAGTGAGAATCTTCAATACGAATGTCAAGGCAGTCTTACTGTACGGAGTTGAAATTTGGAGAACTACAACAACCATCATCAAGAAGGTACAAGTATTTATAAATAGTTGTCTACGCAAGATAATCAACATCCATTGGCCGGATACCATCAACAACAGCCTTCTCTGAGAGAGAACAAACCAGCTTCCGGCTGAAGAAGAAATCAGGAAAAGGCGATGGAAGTAGATAGGACATACATTACGCAAATCGTCAAACTGCATCACGAGACAAGCCCTACCTTGGAATCCTGAAGAGAAGTGTTAGAGTGGAAGGCCAAAGGACACATTACGTCGGGAAATAAAAGCAGATATGGAAAGGATGAATAACAACTGGAAGGAGCTAGAAAGGATTGGTTGGGACAGGGTTGGATGGAGAATGCTGGTGAGTGGCCTATGCTCCTCCACGAGGAGTAACAGGCGTAAGTAAGTAAGTAAGCAAGTAAACAAAGCAGAATGTTTTTAGTATAATCAATATCATAAAAGATCTGAATATATCAATGTCAAGTAATTCTTAGTAATGGTGAATTTGTATAGCCTTTCAGTGTATCAATTTGTGTGTCAGATTATTGGTATGAAAAATGTACACATTTGTAATATGAAGTAATGAGTTTGAATGGTACGTCTCTGTGTGTGTTTATGTGCAGACTGTGTGTAACAAAATAATAAGATTAAATGTGGTTGTTTGGAGAAACAGTCCAGATTCGATGAATATTCAGACCTTCTTTCCTAATGAGGTCAGAGGGATTTAGCATTATGTGAAACGTTTCGACTACTCGCCTCTCTTGACAGTTGGAACAGACTTTCCGAATTCATTTGATTTCTTTAATATCGATTTGATTATTTTTCAAAGTAGCATGTACTGCTATTGCTGATTTGACCTGTAAGATTTCTAATTCTATAGGATTGTTATGAGGTCATTTTTTGTAACTTAAATGTTCTTTGACATCAGTCGAGATTTCACGGGAAAACTCTCCAATATATAACAAAGCATCACAATCGATATAGCCTAATCTGTAGACACAATTTTGAATGAAAACGAATGGAGTTTTATCTGTAATTCTAACTAAAGCGTTTCTTAGAGTGTTAGTTGTCTTATAGAAAGTTTTAATTTTGTGCGCTTTTAATATCTGTTGTTTTACTTCTGTTGAACCTTGGACGTAAGTAAAATCACAGTACCAATCCAACATCGTTCATTAGGTCTGTTGTTTACAGAAAGAAAGTTGTGTTCTAATATTTTTATAACAATAATTTCACGAAAATTAATACTTCATAGTATTTCGATGGCATTCGCTTCTCCTCTCAGCTGATTTTCTACTGAGGTAATCATTTTGATTACTCTTCCGAAATGATTTAGTGCTACGGGCATTTTTGTACTGAATGGATGTGCAGAGTTAAAACCACATACCGTTTTGAATGTGTCGGTTTTTGATATATGACGATGACGGATTTCATGATTGAAATGATGCTTATTGGGCACCATCTAGATAGAGTATGATCATTATTTGGTAAACCATTAATATCTATCAATCAGCGCTGAAGGATTTTTGCATTGACCTGCGTAATCCCTGAGTTGGTATTTCGCTAGACGTATACCCTCTGAATTGTAGGCGCATGAACAGCAATTTCTTATTCACTGTTTGTATTTCGGTTATTTTCGCATTCCACACCATATATTTAATTAAACTTTCTCGTGTGATATATATTTATTATTAGAAATCTAGTTACTTATAAGTAGCATACTTAAAATCGGACCAAAGCAAGCACACAATCTTACAATAAGTAATGTAAAATCTGGAAGCACTGGACGGCCATTTCGTCCTAGTATGGGGCTCCTCAGAAGTGCGCATCCACGATCCCGCACCCAGCGGGGTTCGAACCCACGACCTGCTGGCTTCGCGCGAGCATTTAACCACCAGACCACTGAGCCGGCATCCGACGGTGTTAATGTCTAACTTCAACCAATCCACGGAGTTGCGCCACCGTACACCATTGTCTTCAGTGAGCTGATATCTCACAACAGACCTGGTTGAACTCCACTGATAAGGGCTTCTCCTGATTTCAACCTGTTGAATTTCTAAAAAACTCTTCACAAAACCCATTCTGATAATAATCAACTCCTCACTAGTGACTGACTTCAGGAAAAACTCCTGAAGTTCTAGTGAGAAGCAGTGGAGTTCAACCGGGTCTGTTGTGGGATAGAAACTCACTGAAGACAATGAGGGATGTTTCGCTCAATTTCGTGGATTAGTTGTGGTAAGACATTAGTATAATTGGATGCCCGCTCAGTGGTTTGGAGGTTAAGCGTTCGCGCGCGAGACCGATAGGTCCTGGGTCGGAATCTCATGTGGCGGTGTCGTGGATGAGCACTGCTGAGGGGTCCCACAAGATGGTCGTCTGGTGCTTCCAGGTTTTTCATGGTGGTCCAGCTTCAAATGACACATGACCTCAACCATTGAAATAATCATTGTAGCTCAATATCTTTTAATCTAATTCAATTTATTGTCTCCTCTTTTTTTTTAGTAAGAAAATGACTGGGTTCAATCAAATTGTATTATAACAAATGATCGAAATTTTTACATTAAGAAAACTGCAACAAATAAACAATATTACGACTGATAATATTAATAATAATACCGATGAAAAGTCATTTCTCAAACAAATTGACATATACAACGAGGAATGTGTATGTGAAGATGATGTTAATCAGTCAGTCAGCCAGTCAGTAACAACGTAGAATTTCGTACGTACGTACGCAAAATACATCAGTTCAAGTTGCTATATTAACATTACTACAAAGATACAAAGTGATGTGAATAATAATAGAGTGTAGATTTTGCAAAATACAACTAAACAAATCTTACCATAACCCATTTTATCATGGAATGTAAATGAAGTAACAGACAAGAACACAAAGAAATTTATAATCAACAATCTAGAAAGTTATATCAAGATTTCATCTTCAGTTATAAAGATAATAATGAGTTGTAAGGAGGGAGGAAGGAGGAGGGAACAAGAAAGAAATGGATCATCAACAATAAGAAAAAAAATATCTGTATCATTGTTATAATAGTGAAAATGATATTAGGGAAAGACTAACTGATAGAGAATATGAATATCACAGTAATAATGAATTAGAAATATAGTAACAAAAGATCATTGATAATCAAATAGGTAACTAATGACTTATACAAAGCAAATGAAGCCAAGAGGAAAAAGACATTTGAAACATCATACAGATAATTGTGAATAAATGAAAATATATAATGAAATGGTATCTTTTGAAATGATTTTAAACAGATAACCTGAACTATAATAATGATTATTACGTCGAGAAATCAAAGCACATATGAAAAGGATGAATAATAATTAGAAAGAACTGGAAAGAATTGTCCAGGACAAGGTTGGATGGAGAATGCTGATGGGCGGTTTATGCTCCTCCACGAGGAGTAACAGGCATACGTAAGTAATTAAGTAATGATAATCATTTGTCAATACAATTGAATAACGATAACAGGCACTGAAACAATAGAGGAAATTCGATCACTTTCACTTGTGATACATAGAATAAAATGTAATAGAAACCAAAATGTATACAACATTGTTCTCTTCAACCAATCTAAAGTTAGTTATGTAAGCATCAAGTAGAGAAGAAATACACACACACACACACACATACTCATCGATCACAACATCTACAAAGAATGAAAGAATATTGAAATGTGTATATTATAAGGAAGACAATTAATTGTTGAACAAGAATAAAATACAGGAGGTGAACATTTAAAATACATTTATCACATGTACATACAGAATTGATTTGGGAACAATAACAAGCAACAACAGCAACAACAACAAAATATGTTATTTCCTTTGTATGTATCCCAATGTATTATGATTAGTTGCTATGACATCATTGATTTATTTGATTATATTTGAATTATCCCAGAGTAAATGAATTACTTAAATGATAAGGATGATGATGATGATGACATTGAGAAAAGTGATACAAAATTTTGAAATAAATGAGTTGTCTGAAATAAGAAGAAACAAACATAAAAGTGAACATAAGTATTATTATATATACAAAGATGGATAATGGTTAGCAGTGAATTCCTATTTGGGATTGGAATTCAATACCGTTTGCTTTAAAACGTCATCACACTATTCATATAGCTATTGAATCCTGATAGTCACTTGATTGTGCAATGGGGTGAAGTTTTAATAATTATAGGTAGTTCAGGATCATTCATGGAATCCAGAAGGTTTATGTCATTTATGTAATATGGCAATAAAACTTGTTTATTGAAGGCTAAAATCACATTGTTAGTATTTGATCCGGTATATCTTTCAATCAAATGAAGGTAGTAGAAAGGGTACTTGATGAGAATTGTAAATTTGGTTCGAACAACAACTTATTGAGCTAAGCTGATATGCACCACATGAGTCACATATGCTCTTAATCACCATTTTCGATATATAAAACTAATTAGCAACCTAGAATCAATATAGCTTGGTATGGATGCATTCAACTCAAAAATATACACAGAAGCCAGTAGGTCCTGGGTTCGAGCCCCGCGTGGTGCGGGATCGTGGATGCGCACTCCTGAGGAGTCCCATACCAGGACGAAACGGCCGTCCAGTGCTTCCAGGTTTTCAATGGTGGTCTAGCTTCAACTGACTCATGATTTGAATCTGTGAAATTTCTAAAACTCTTCACAAAACCCATTCTGACAGTATGTAATAGTTCAATTACCTTATAAACTATAAGAGATTAGGCTTTAAAACTTGAGTAAACTATTGAAGTAAGTAAGTATGTAATTTTATTTCATAAAACTCATTCATATATAAATAAAATTCGACTTAAAAAGTAACGCAAAGAAAACGGAGACAATGTAGAGCAATTCAATGTAAAAATGACGATGACAATGACGACGACAACAAAAAACACATTCACAGACAACATATTGGGGTCCAACAGTAAACTGACCAATCATCATGATCATCATCAATCATCACTTTGTCATATTCTTCAATTTAGGTCGAAGAGCCGATTCAATGATACTTTTCCATAAGCTTAAAATTATTAAAGCCTATAGAGATTTCAATGGATAACAATAGAATATTAAAAGGAATATAATCATCTATCAAATGTTGGAAAAAAAAGGAAAAAATGTCTAGACACAACTTCGATAAGAATTTTAGTAACCATCTTGATTATTCAAACTGAGTAATGTCGGTTAGAACTTTATTAGGGAATAAACATTCGCTAAATATAATGCAAATAGACTGTCTAGATACGTTAATTAGAACAACAACAAAAAGTCTACGGCGTTATATCTTTTAACATTTATAACTTACAAGTTAACCCTGCAATTGTAAATGTGATTTTTCTCCTTCTCTTAGTCAGTCAGTCAGATACAATGTAGGACCAGGCACATATATACATCGGTCCAAGTTGCCATACCTCATAAACACAACAATATGGACACCGGATTCATAAAAGTAGTTAATTCATAGGTGGTAATATATAAAAGAAAGATTGCAATAAGGATATAATACAGAAAGAAAGAATTAGTTCGTAGAAAGAAAGATATGAAGCGATTTTAATCTCATAGTTTAAAGAAGACAGAGAGCGAATACACGGACGCCACTGTGATCAGTTATGAGCCATATCACCAAGAGTCTCCAACCATCGGTTACGATAGTCACGCGGACCCCAACCAAGTAGTCTGCATCTACCAACATGGCTCAGACTAGAAGTTAGTGACTGATGCACTGATGCCACTTTTTGGGTTTGGCCGCCCCTAACTTCCAACCATCCCGAACACCAGTTACCATTGCACGTCGTGGTAATCGGTGTTCAGGCCTAACCATCTCAGGCGATGAAGATTCTCTTAATTTTGTTTCGAAAATGTCTTAATTATGTACCTATTAAGATTTATTAATTGCGTTGCTTTGTGATCATGTATCTCTTATTTGAAGAATAACTCTATAGAATAGAGAGTATTTTAAAACCTTTATCTGACATACTGATAATGAAGTATAGCAACTTAGACCGATGCATATATGTGCCTGGTCCTATTTTGTAGCTGACTGATTGACACATAATCATATTCTGACTAGAAAGTTTTATACATTACGAATTTTTAAACATTTCAAAGCTCTAAACCATTATAAATCAATCCGCAGTTCATTTCAATGACTTCAACTAACCAATAACAACGGTGATAATGTTGCTTTTTTAATCGAGTTTTGTCCTCTAAGTTGGATAGTTTGCTCGTGGAGATTTCATCGTTCTCCTTCTCAACGACATCATCAGCATAAATATCAGGTAGGAGTGAAGTGTTCGAATTTCTTCACATATGGTTCACAACTTGTCCTGTAAGCCTCCATGTTGATTGGTTCTTGTTAACATTATACCTGTCATTGTTTACTTCTTCCATTTGGTTGTATCTCTCATCGGTTTGATTTTTATTCCTATATTTGTCGATAATCTTCCTGATTGGTTGATAAATCGGATCGATTTCAATGTGATTATCGATTGTTGATTGACCTGAGCGCCAAGCTTCTAAAAATTCTCTGGTGTTTTTCGAATTGCCTCTATCTACAATTTACACATTTTTCCAGTCGATTGTGTGTGCACAGCTGTCCACGTGCGTTGATATAAATGAGGACATGTCATGGCGTTTCACTACTAATTGATGTTCATGCACGAGAAAATGAAGAGGGCGTCCGCATAGGATGTAATCGTTATAACTTGTGACCACCGATTTGAGAGCAGTGGATTATTGATCGGATCAATGATACATAAAACAAGTACAAGCAGCCTAGAGTCCTGATTGGCCCTGCTTTCCGCCTAGATCTGCCTGTTAAGTCCAGAGTACAAATCTCAGCTTCTGAAATACGAATCATTTATTTCAAACGTACGGGGTTTATATATCAATCAGACAGACCACAACGTACCATAAAATAGAAAATAACATTTGTACAATATTTGGCCAACAGGAAAATGACACGTGAAATAAGTATTGACCAATAGGAAAATGATACCATTCCAAGTCCAAGGATAGAATTAGACTTAACAGGATATTTTTCTGAATATCCCAACAGTAATGTAGTGTGTGATTCATCTTATAGGAAATCTACTGCATACATTCATATTTGAAAATAGAAATGAAGTGAATACAATGGATGATATAGTGAGAATAGTTAATTAGATCAATTATAAACATACCATATCCGTTTGAAATCGATAAGTGATCATTGCTTTCTTCTCTTGATCTGATATTTATTTGAAGTAGGGAATAAAAATGATAAAAATTGTAATGAAATAAGAAACGTTTACAGAACCAGCTATTATATATTTATTTGTATAAAGACCTAAATGATCAATGACACAAGTCATACCACTGATGAGACTAGAGTGGAATGAGATATACAACTATTTTTCATATTACACCAATATGGGTACCGAGACTTAAGGATCAGTAGTGTGTATGTGTGTGTATGTGACAGAAGGAAAAAGAGACAGTATCTTCTAGTTACTGAAAATTATTTATATTATTTATTTATTTGAACACATAAATATTGGTACAATAGAGCGCCAATATATATGCGCCACACAAAACAATGGGAATTCGAAGAGAAGTAGAAAGAAGAAAAAAAAAACTAAGGAACGCAAAAGAAAAAGAGAACAATGACGAAGAGATTGGAGTAAGGTAGTGTGGTAGTAACGACGGAACGAAAAGGTACAATCAGAAGAAATCTTTCAGGTAAAGGAGACACAACCACTTTTTATGAAGAAAGTAAAAGGTTACAGCAGGATCGCCACTGGTTTCTATTCTGAGCCATATCTGATAACGTCTCTAGCCACTGTGTTGCACCATCTCTCGGACCCCAACCAGGGAGTCGTGAAGGACCAACACAAGCCAGTCCTTTGCAGCTTTCTTTCATGCCACGACACCATGTCATGCACTGACCACCTCTCCGCTTCTTCCAACCAGTCCCAGAGTCGGCAAATAATGCACGACGTGGAATTCTCTGGGACGACATTCGGAGAACATGTCCAAGCCACCTAAGTCGGTGTTTCAAGATGGTGACACCAATTGAGTTATCATCTCTGTGCCCGAACACACGATGCCGAACCTCTGCATTACTGACATGGTGTTGCCACTGAATGTCAGCAATCCTTCGGAGACAGCGATGATCGAACACAGAGAGTCGTCTAACGTCCTCAACTCGGAGAGGCCAGGTTTCACAAGCATAGAGCAAAACTGCTCTCACCGACGCGTTGTAGATCCGACCTTTTACAGCCAGACTAACATCATGAAGGCGCCAAAGATAGCCCAGATTGGCATAAGCCGCTCTGGCTTTCACTATACGTGCATTGATCTCATCACTCACACCCCCACCAGCACTTATGCAGCTACCCAGATATACGAACTTCTCGACTACTTCTATCTGCTCACCATCCAGGGTGAGTACAGGATTAGAATCCTGCCAGTCTTGTAGAAGTACTTTGCACTTCGAAGGTGCAAAGCACATACCATACCTACGGACACTGATTGCCAACTGATTAAGTGCGGATTGCATGCCTTGGGCATTATCGCACAGTAAGACAATATCGTCTGCATATTCAAGGTCGAGAAGTTTTTCTCCAGGCAACAGATCCACACCACCATTACTTACATCCATCAGAGCTGTTTCCAGAATGTCATCGATGGCAAAGTTGAAGAGGAATGGTGAGATTGGGCAACCCTGCCTAACCCCACTGCTCGAATGGAACAATGGAGAGAGGTGGTTGTATGCCCTCACTCTGCCTGAGGTGTTTTTATACAGGGCTTTTGGGATGTTAATAAACTTCTCAGGCACACCCTTCTTCAATAGACAATCCCAGAGAACAGTCCTATCCAACGAATCGAAGGCAGCCCTGATGTCAAGAAACACTACGATTGTTGGCCTTTGAAAAGTATGGCGGTGTTCTAACATTTGGCGGAGGGTGAAGATATGATCAATACATCCTCGACCAGAACGAAACCCAGCCTGCTCTTCGCGAGTCAATCTTTTTCGGGTTTTGAACAACCTACGAAGTATGACGGAAGCCAATAGCTTAGACGCAATCGGAAGTAAGTTATCCCCGATAGTTGTTACAGGAACGACGTGAACCCTTTTTAAAGATAGGGACAACTATCGACTCATTCCATGACGTTGGCACACTCTCTAGCTCCCAAACCTTTGTAAACAACGTCGTCAATTCCTTAGTCAAAAAGTCACCACCATCTTTAAAAAGAGCCGGAGGTAAGTCATCTGGGCCAGGTGATTTGTAACGCTTCAAGAGTTGGAGTTCCTTGCGGACTTCCTCCTCATTTGGTGGATCAGTCGTCACCGGCCATGGAGGGCAGGACAGTCTGACCGATGTTGCCGGAGCAGCAGGCCAGTTGAACTGCCCTTCGAAAAATTCTGCCCATCGTCCAAGACGTCGATGGATGTTAGTGATTGGCATCCCATCATCCTCGCAGATTGTTTCACTCACACCAGACTTCTTGCTGCCAGTGGCTCGGATGAGCTGGAAGAGCTTCCGGCAGTTACCAGATGCAGCTGCTGCTTCCAGCTCATTGGCACGCATCGACCACCAGGCTTCTCGGTCCTTACGCAAGCTTTGCCCAATTTCCTCACGTAACATCCTTCGTTTATGGTCAAACTCACAGTCACCCGGAGTAGACCGACGGGCTTCAATGAGTTGTAAGGAACCAGAAGAAACCCAGTGCTTAAAAGCGGGACGTTTCGCAAACCCACAACTGACTGTTCCCGCCATTTTCATGGCGTCATGCAATTGCAACCAATGCTCATCTATTCAGGGGGGCAGTTACTGAAAATAATCAACAACGAATTCATATACGCAAAAGATCTTTGCATCAGGGCAACTAAAGATATTTCAAGCGTGAACAGCTAGTTAATTTGGTATTTTTGTAGGTACCAGGTTACTGGATCATCACCATTTAAGTGGAAATGACTTTTAAATAAACTGGACGGATAGGTCCTAGGTTCGAATCCCGCGAGGTGAGGTCGTGGATGCGTGTTGTCGAGGAGTACCATGGTGGTCTAGATTCAAATGATTCATGATCTTAACTATTGAAATTACTACAATCTCCTGAAATAAATAGTTATTACTAAATTTGATAACAACATAAATTTCTGGTGGTATATCAAGGGAAAACTAAGAGTTCGAATTAATGTTTTCCTAACTGACATTGAAACTATGAACCATTAACGAATACTAGAAGGTGGAATCATGAAAAACAATTTACTATCAAGGTTAATTTAGCTGTAGGAAACAAATAGGTACTATTTAAGGCTGGTAGGCTTTGACAGTAGTCGCTTAACAAAGTTCAACCAGTGATTTCAAATAATTAGAAGAATTTTAACGAACATCTACCTATGGAACTATTAAGAAAGACTTATTTCAGGCATTAATACTAAACTTTGATTTCATTATTTTGAAAAAAAACTGAACATTGAACAGGATATAAGTAATAAAATAATGATATATTATTGAGTAGAAGTTCCAGTTTATGACATTTTATGATTCAGTGTAAGTCACGTCTTCAAAATAAATAGATAAATAACCAAGTCAAATTCACACAAGTTTAAATAGTGTAGAATGACAAGACAGAAAACGCCATTTAGTCAGATTAAAACAGATCCAATTATTATCAGAAGACGGATTTTGTGGAGATTGTAGTAAATTAATAGTTCAGTTTATGAGTCAATTAAAGCTACACCCCTATAGAAAACCTGAAAGCATTGGATAGCCAGCACTGTGCATCCACGAGCCTGAGAGTGAGATTCGGACGCACACTGCTGAGGAGTCTGATACTAGGATGAAACGGCCGTTCAATGTTTCCAGGTTTTCCATAATGGTGTAGTTTTAATTGACTCATGAACTCAACTATTAAATAGAAGTATGTTTAATTTTATTAAATAAAAAAATATATATCATGAACCACTTACCGTAGACATCAATCGTAAATATTTCCGATTTTATTGTACAACAACGTTTAATATTATGCAATTTGATAAATTTCTGAAATAGAAAGAGAGTGATGAAGATAATAATAATACTCGATGAAGAATATATCAGAGGTCTAATTAAAAGTACCAAAAAGATGAAGTCATTAACGAATGAAGAACACTGTATACCAAATCATTGTGATTTCATGATTCGGAATTTTAGTTGTTAATCACAAATGTAACAAAATCACCACGAGCACTAAAATCTATATTTCGAGCAATGATCTCTGTCGCCCACCTAGTTGTTTGCTTTGCACTTTAGTGGTAATTCGTCTTACGTTTTTCATACATAGGGTCACTAAAATAGTAATATTCAAATTGGATTTAAGCAGAAGCAAGTAAAATGACAAAATTTCAGCATAAATAGGATGCCTGTTTCGAAGAATAACGGTTAGACACTAAAAAGGTTTCATCGACGTTGGATCTTTTAAACAGGTGTTGATGACGTTTAGAGGTGTGACATAACTCGACGACTATCCACTGTACGATAATAAAAACAACAACATGAATGTATACATTACAACCGGCAAAAGGCCATAAAAAAGATACATTAAATAACCCTCACATCGTGCACGTATATACATATATATATAGATGCACGTCTGAAAATACACACACGAGTTTAATCATGTTTAAGATAATAAAATCTAACCTGTTCATCACCGAATTTGATAACGAATCCATCTGGTAAGATACTAATAGTACCAGGTTGATTGTTATCCAAATTAGTTGCATTAATTTCACCGTTCAAATCACCATCTAGATGAGATTAGAAAGAAATTTTACAAAATTATGAAAAGTGGTGTACAAATCTTACTAACAATTACAACGCCTCTGAATACTATGATATAACCGAGAGTGAGGAGAGTCCGCACTACTTCTCTAAGTGAATTCACATGGCTAGGCTTATACGGTTACTCCTAAGGAAAACTAATTCACTGTCTTTATGTGCTGGATGTGTTGTTTATGAAATTAGGAAGACGAAAAGCGAATTTCCAGCTTTTTAAATGGATTGGTGAGTATGGAGGATCCAACCTGGGGGATTTGAAAAACAAGTGGTGAACATTGGTTTCAGGATACTGAAGGAATAACTGGAGTATGAACTTATTCTTGGTCACCACCGGCTTCCATGAGACTGCACTTTTCTTAACATGGCTCTGTTGCCTTATGGATTAGACCACCCGGCCAAAGGCGCAAGGAGTTGCCCGATAAGAATGCCATCTGCTTCAGATCAGACACCCATCTGCAATTGCATTTACTAGCTTACATGGACATGCCAAAGAAATTACATTGAGCTCAAAGCAAGGAAGAATCTTTCTTGCATCTCGGAAAAAGTTTCACAGCAACTGAGGTTAAGAGGCCAACATGTTTTAAACAGTGTAATTACTTGTCTACGGCTTGACACTGATCACAAAGTTATTACTTTAAGATCGTTCAAAATAAACAAAAAGTCAAGAACATTTGGTCAAATTAATCGGTCGCAAACATTGATCGTAATACCTCAAAAGTTCCAGTCGATTAATTTGATGAGATAGGAGAAGAAACAAACACATAAAGAATGTAATACTGTATTATACAAACTAAAGAAATTGGATGTGAACAGGTATTGAATGAAATATTTGAAATTATTTTTTTGACTACTTATATCCGTTTTTAGCAACACAGAAATAATGAACAAATATGAGGTAAAAAGAAAATTCGGAAGTGTACGAACAGTTGTCGAATTGAAAACCTCTGAAGTCGATGGACAATCTACTTTGCTAGTCAACAACAGTTCCAGCCCAGAAATTCACACAAAGTTAAGCCGATGATGTGACAGTTTTCCAGTATTCGAAGGTCGTTGAATTGGAAAATTCAGACGTTAGAAAAAAGGTGATTTCGAATTTGGATTCTATGCAGTATCATGTGTTGGAAATTTGTTGCTGCGAAGTGCTAAACCGTTTTTTCTGAGACAGTAGTTACGATGGTATTGATTGGTGCTGAAGAGGATTTTCGGAATAAAATGTTCAAAGTAATCCTGTGTCAAGCTCTTCCGCTTCTACTGTGAAGGTATACTAGACTTCTGGTTGGTTCGAAGTTGTGAAAACGATAATAATAAATTATATTTAACTGATTCATATCATATATATCTCATATAATACTTCTAGCCAAAACATAGACAATAGAACTAACTTAATATTCCATGTGAAGCTTCTACAGATATATTTTTCATTGATTCTTTGATCTGTTGATAAACTAAACGAGACTGATAAGAAAAGAAGAATGTAACAAATATGAGCATGTAAGTAAAGTTGCAACAACGGCTTGAAAATTATTTGTATCTCCGTAAGCGCGTACACCAAAACTTACTTAAGAAATACTAAAAGTGGGCAAAGTAAACCGTTTAATGCACTTGAAGAGTGCGAGTAGTCCCAGTTTCGAATCCCCCGAATGCCCTGGTATGGCCTAGAATGGGAAGAGTACGCTCTCCCTCTCGAAGTGATCTCACATGACCACGCCTATACAACCACCGACAGGGAACTCCTATTTACTGCATTCTCGCGACATTACTGTTGTTTACGAAATTGAGAGAACGAAAAGCGAATGTCCGACGCTGTGATGGGGTTGGTGGGTATATAGGAACCACCTACGGGAGTTGAAAAACCCTTATTCCGAACCAATGTTGCACATGGACTCCATGATCCTGGAGGAAATAAATGGCGTATGAACCTATTGTTGGTCACTGGCTGTCATGGGTTAGCATCTCCTTACGTTGCTCCACTGTCTTGTGGGTTAGACCTTTAGGTCAAAGGCTCGGAGTGTGACCCCTTAAAAAAACCACCTGCTTAGGTTTGGGCACGCGGCTAGTATCCCAGCCCTCACACAAATCGAATGAATAATGTGGCACATATCTCTATTCGGTGCCTCATTGTAACAATGTTTATGTGTGTAAATAAATGCCAATTCTTGATTCAAAACACATCAAGAAACATGAAATAATAGGTCAAATTGATGACAGTCGTGTGAACATCAGATAACGCTGTCAAATCACAATATTTTCATGAACATTATTACTTCAAATTGAAGTTTCACCTCGATATAATAATAAAAAATAATGAGTAGTATGAATAGATAGTAGAAAAAGTAAATTCGTCAATTCATTTATTCATAATCTATCTATAACTTTGCATATATTTCCTTGAAGTTTACTTGGAAGATACAAATTGTACATAAATCTAACAAAATATTAGTTATGCATTCCTAAAAAAGTTAAGCAATATGTCATATAACAACTACTGGAATCAATAATGATTCTGGTCGACTGAATTTTTGGGCTTTGATCTTCTTCCAGGAGGTCCGCTTATCGACTTAGAATACACAGATGATAAAGTTCTGTTTGGCGAAGACACTGATAAAATGCAAAGTCTTTTGGTAGCACTAAGCAACAATGTCAGAATGTTTGGAATGCGCTTCTCTCCCTCTAAATGCAAGATGTTCCTCCAGGACTGACCTGTCTCAACACCAGAACTTAGGATGGGGAGTAATGTAGTCGAACGCGTTGACAACTTCACTTATCTTGGAAGTCTGATCAGCCCTAATGGGTTGGTGTCTGACGAAATCTCTGCACGGATTCGAAAAGCTCGTTTGGCTTTTGCCAACTTACGTCACCTATGGCGAAGGCAAGACCAATTAAGGGATGTGTATACTGCGCGGCAGCTCGTTCTGTTCAACTTTACGGCTGCGAAATGTGGCCATCAAGAGTAGAAGATACTCGTAAGCTACTAGTATTTGACCACATATGTCTTAGAAATATTGCCAACATCCGCTGGGATCACCGTTTAAGTAATAGTGAGATTAGACACAGAGTATTAAAGAATGATGATAAATCAGATGATGAGGTTGTGATTCTTCATCGACTGATGGTTGGGCCACGTGTTGCTTATGCCTGAGCACCGATTACCACGACGTGCAATGCTGACTAGTGTTGGGGATGGTTGGAAGAAAGTTAGGGGAGGCCGAACAAAAACGAGGCATCAGTGCTTGAAGTCACTAACTTCTAGTCTGAGCCATGTTGGTACGTGCGGACTACTTGTTTGAGGTCGTGTGAATATCATTGTAGTGAACAGAACACCAGTGGGGACAATCGAATGTATTTGAGCGAAAAATTACAGAGCATCTCAATAAAATCTGAGAACAATACAGCAAATCGTTAATTTGCAAAATTTCAATCCATCATCTTAAACTAGAACGTTCCTATCGCAAACATCAATCCATTGTCTCAGACTTCATTGTTCATACGTTTTCATACCAACTGCGTTCCGTTTCCGTACTTTCCTCATCGACATTCTACTGAAATACATTCTATGCCTAACCACCGTTATATACTACATGTGTGGATATAAGTTATCCACACCACATCATCACCAATGTTTAGAGACTCTGTGTGACATGACTCAGAATCGACCACAATGGCGTAGGTGTATACACACTCTTTGTCTTCCCTTGAACTATGAGATTAAAATCGCTTCATATCTTTCTTTCTACCAACTAATTCTTTCTTCCTGTACTATAACCTTACATAAAATCTTTTATATATTACACCATTGAGTTATCTGCTTCTATGAATCTGGTGTTCGTCTTACTGTGCTAATGAAGTATGGCAACTTGGACCGATGCATATATGTACCTGGTTCTACGTTATTCAAGTCACTCAATGAATAAAAAAAACGAATCCAAATCAGGATACTTACTTTGCGAGTATAAAATAAATCCATTTGTGAATGATCAAATATTTGTCTTGTAATGCATAATATATGTGTATGTGATCTATACGTTAAATTGATCACTTGATCATACCATAAACGTTCTAATATACGTCCAGATAAATTACGAATTAATAGATAATCAGAACAAACCTAATAATAATTAGACACCAAGAAAAAAATGAAAGAAAATTTAGGATAATCGTTTAAGAAGTACCTCTTTGTACATTTCCAAATGTGTTTGTTATGAAATCATAATAGTAGAATGAAAGTAATCAAAGTAAATAGTATTACTCATAAGTAACTGATACATGAGGATGTTAGACGAGTCTCTGTGTTCGATCATCGCTGTCTCCGAAGGATTGCTGACATCCAGTGGCAACACCATGTCAGTAATTCAGAGGTTCGGCATCGTGTGTTCGGGCACAGAGACGATAATGCAATTAGTGTCACCATCTTGAAACACCGACTTAGGTGGCTTGGACATGATCTACGAATGTCGTCCCAGAGAATTCCACGTCGTGCATTATTTGCCGACTCTGGGACTGGTTGGAAAAAGCGGAGAGGTGGTCAGTGTATGACATGATGTCGTCGTATGAAAGAAAGCTGACAAGGGCTGGCTTCTGTTGGTTCTTCACGATTCTCTGGTTGGGGTCCAAGAGATGGTGCAACACAGTGGCTAGAGACGTTATCAGATATGGCTCAGAATAGAAGCCAGTGGAGATCCTGCTGTAACCTTCTTTTAATTCCTTCATAAAAAGTGGTGGCCTCTTCCTGAACTGAAGGAATTCTTTATGGTTGTCCCTTTCTATCTCTCCCATTATTATTACTATTATTACGCTACCTTACACTAATCTATTCATCATTGTTATTTTTTTACGCTCCTTACTTTTTTCCTTATTCTCTTCAAATTTTCATTGTTTTGTGTGGCGCATATACATTTGGCGCCCTCTTGTACCAATATTTATGTGTTCAAATAAATAAATAAATAAACATTAGTTGAACGATATATATATAAAGTCATGAATGGTTCAATAACTGTTTTGATTAGTTTTGGGACTTTTTTAATAATCTGATTAAACGAGATCTAAGGAAACTTTAAGGATAAAATGACCAGGTATCTAATGTGTATAATACATTTTCATAGAATTTAATCAATAATAATTCTAAAGTCTGTCATTTCGATCTTCAGATTATTTGCTACACAGAATAATTTTCATATGATGATCATCTAGTGAAAAGCAGTGACCTGTGAAGTTCAACTGGGTCTGTTGTGAGATAGTGATTCACTGAAGACAATGGTGGATATGTTGCTCAATTCCGTAGATTAGTTGAAGTTAGACATTAACACTGTTGGATGCCGGTTCAGTGGTCTAATGGTTAAGCGCTCGCGCGCAAAACTGATGGGTCCTGGGTTCGAATCTCATACTAGGACGAAACGGCAGTCCAGTGCTTCCAGGTTTTCCATGGTGGTTTAGCTTCAATTGACTCATGATCCCAACTATCAATACTACGATAATATCCACAAAACCTCTTCTTCTGATGATCATCTATTATAAATTACGTCACTTCTGGTATCTCTAGTTAAGCAATATTGGTTAGATGATTAAGGTTATAATGAAAAAACAAAAAACATAACAACTCAGAATTATTTCACACAACCCTCAATATACAATTGACAAAAAATATATCCAGGTTGCAACATACTCTACTAAATCAACAAGCATTATTGAAAGTAAGAGGAAAAGCTAATGAAGCAAATATGGACTAGAATGATTGAACACATGATGAAAATACGTCAACCGACAATTTCGTAAATGGTGTAGGTTTATATTAGACAAATGTAAACTGTTTTTCTTTTGGTACATAAATGTTAGTTTTACTCGGAGGGAACCAGCATCACTGGATATATCTAACCAACATCTACATACATAAAAATGCCCTACCTAGATGTTTATACTAACGTAGTGGACACTACTCAGAAGATTGTTTGTAAGTAGTGTGTAGCGAAACGTGGCGTCGAAGGTCCAAGAATTGTTAGACAGAGCGAAATGTTTTAGTACATCGAAAGCACGGAGTTAGCATAACACGTGGAGACCAGACATATATATACAGATATTTGTAACCTCTTGTATTAAATATACATTCCTCCAGCCTAGTGACGTACTTTACACTACTTACTATTAGCCACTACCCTAAATATTAGGAATACGCTAAAAATATATAATTTAACATTTGAAAAAATATTACTTCAAGAAATATTAGTTCACCGCTCTCATCTGAACCACGATAGGCTTCATGTGAACGTTGTACAATAAAACGACTTTGAGCCACATTTAAATCGATATCATTTCCATTCTGTGGGAAAAATAACATATGAAATATTACATTTACACTCCAGTATAAAACAATAAAAGTAAGTTTTAAAAATTACGTTCATACCATATGCGATTCAACATAACCACAAGTATCTATCACAAAATTTAGTTAAAGTAAGGTAAACACATAAATTTGAAACGATAATGAGAAATCTGAACTCATTGTTAGCTAATCAGATAACAGTTATTGTAAATGAATAGTTTTATGAACAAGACAGTAATATTATGAAAGAAGAGACAATTTTATATAATTAATGAATGAAGCAAGTGCCTATCAGGATTCATTAGCTAAGTGGATAACGCCATAGCGTTTGAAGCGAACGGTACTGGGTTCGACTCCCAGAGTGAACATCAACTCAAGGTACATCCAACTGACAAGTCCCAAATAGGACGAAACGCGTCTCAAACTGGATTCCATTGCTAGCCACTACTATCTATCATTGCTTACAAAGCTTATGACTTAAGGCTATAATATCGAGGTAATCCGCACAGGATGCACATATGTCAATAAGAGACTGATCAATTGTAGTCCTAAACATCAATGAGAGAAGATTCAGACAAACAATACCAAATGAAGTTAAAAGTTGATTTGCCTAAAATATACAACCAATTAAGGAATTTCGTATGTTTAATTAATGATAATAAAAATAATATTCGGCTTCAATGTTTAACGCTTTGATCAGTATTACAAAGGTAATTTTACTGCTTGTCATAATATGACATTTGCATTTTGAGCAAAAAACCTAAATGTCACATACTTGATTCCAATTGATTCCTCTCTAAAAGTACACTTTATCATAAAACTCATTGATTTTCTAATTTCATCAAAAAATGTTTGAAGCCTTTTTTTCTTTTACTGAAATCAATTAGGTTGTTCATATTGCGTCAGTCAGTCAGTCAGTCAATAACAATGTAGAACGTCGTACGTACGTACATCAGTTCGAGTTGCCACACCACATTAGCACAGAGATGCAGTTGTCGATTCAAATCCCGTAGTGGTAGAGGTAATAAGAGTATAAGCAGTAATCGGAAACATTAGGGTTTGAAGATGTTATTTAAAGAGTATAATCCAAGAAATACACTTCCACGGTGTGGGCAGCCGGGAAGTGACATAAGCCCTCATACCCTCATATTGCGTAATAATGTATAGTAATTATATTATAATCAGAGAAAGGTTTTTGTAGATACTATAGCAATTTAATAGTTGAATTCATCAGTTAATTGAAGCTAGAACATCATGGAAAAAACTGGACGGATAGGTTCTGGGTTCGAATCTCGCGAGAAGTGATCGTGAATGTGCACTGCTGAGTTCCATAGTAGGATGAAATGACTGTTCAGTGCTTCCAGGTGGTCTAGCTTCAATTGACTCATGAATTCAACTATTAAATTAAATATATTATCTTTTATAGATGTTTTGTCTATGTGTTGGTGATAATAATTCGTATGCTAACTGAAACTGAACACTGTGTTCATCAACTATTATTATATGTTCAATTGTATTGATTCTATTTATATGAAATCATTCATTGAATTTCAAGACACCTCATTGAATTAATTAAATGAGGAGTCCCACATTAGGATGAAACAGCCGTCTAATGCTTCCAGTTTTTCCATGGTGGTCTGGATTCAAATGACTCATGATCTCAACCATTGAAATTACCAAAATATCCACAAAAACCCCTTCTGATACTAATTACTTCATTGTCATCCTGTATTCAAGTGATGAATGTTTAGTTGAAGTCAGTCAGTCAGCTATAACGTAAGACCAGGTACATACATGCATCCGTCCAAGTTGCCATACTTCATTAGCACAGTAAGACGAACACCAGATTCATAGAAGCAGATAACTCAATGGTGTAATATATAAAAGATTTTATGTAAGGTTATAGTACAGGAAGAAAGAATTAATTGGTAGAAAGAAAGATATGAAGGGAAGATAGAGAGTGTATACACCTACGCCATTGTGATCGGTTATGAGCCATGTCACCCAGAGTCTCCAAGCATTGGTTACAATTGTCGTGCGGACTCAAAGCAAGTAGTTTATATCTACTAACATATCGAAGACTATATGTTAGTGACTTCAAGCATTGATTAATTAATTGACATATCATTGAATTAAAGCCAATAAACATTTAATCATTTTTGGTTACTTCCAATGAGTCCTCTTAGGAAGATTTGTCTTTTGTAGTAGTTAAGGCTAGAAGAAAATTGAACTGTTGCTTACAGTATAGAAGTTCTTCTTAGAATAAGTGTACTACTGCCACCACATAATCATAACAGTATAATCAAATACGAAGGAACTAGAAGTAAATATCTTCCTAAATGTGATAGTAATTTTCATATTAACTATATTAAACTAGATATGATCGTGATAACAAGGTTTTGTATTTCCATTTACCCTAGAAAACTTATTCAGAGAGAAGCTTTATTACCTTCAAAAAAACACTGGATGTAATTTAAAGACAAGTAATACTGTGTCAACACGTGAGTAGATATTTATGTAGATATACTCTATTTAGTAGGAAAAAATCATGGTCAAGGTCAAATTGTGAATAGTGCACGAAGAGAAACAAACACATAGAGGGTAATAATAGGATAGATAAATAGATAACTAATTTATCCCATGGAAAACTACAACTTTTTATGGAGTGATGAACTCGGTAATAAATATCAATTAGATTTTTTTAGAAATATAAATTCTATCATATTGAAAGGCTACTAACATGACTATCGATTGTCAAATTATGTTGTGTAGTGTTTCAAACTAAGATTCAGTAATTGATAGATGAATGGGGTTTTTATATTTGTAGAAATAGTTATTGGATTTAATAAAAATGTGTAAAAAGTTCTTATTTCACAGTGAATTAATAAGTTATGTTGAATCGGACAACTGGTTTCATGAATTATGTTAATACAACGATCGTTTCAATGAAATTTAATAAACTCCACAACCTCATACTAACGAGTATCATGTAATCAATAGTGACTAACTAGTTAAAACTTGCCTTGTGATACAGTTTGGTGATTTCCTCAATGTATGTCCTATCCACTTCCAACGTCTTTTCCTAATTTCCTCTTCAGCTGGAAGCTGGTTTGTTCTCTCCCAGAACTCTGTTGCTGATGATCCGTCCGACGGACATTCAATCTTACGTAGACAATTATTTATAAATACTTGTACCATTTTGATGATGGTCGTGGTAGTTTTCAAATTTTCATCTCTGTACTGTAGAACTGTCTTGATGTTCGTTCTAAAGATCTTGCTTGGATATTGGTTGACAGTTGTTTTGAGTTCCAATATTCTTAAACTGTAGGAATGTGGCCCTTGCTTTGCTAATCGTCGTCTTTACGTCTGCATCGCATCCTCACATTAATCAATGATGCTTCCCAGGTGCGTGAAAGATTGCACAACTTTTAGAGTTTCTCCACCAAGTATAACTGGATTGTTGTTCTCTGTGTTTTATTTCAAGATGTGACTTTTCGCTTGTGTATCTTGAGGCCTACTGATGCGGAGGCTTCTGCTACACTAGTTGTCTTGACCTGCATTCGCTCATGTGTTTGGTGGTTTAGAGGCTAAGTGTTCGCGCGCGAGATCGAAGGTCCTGGGTACGATTCCTGCTGGCGCGGTAGCGGTGTCGAATGTTGAGGATCCCATATTGGGACGAAACAGACATCTAATGCTGATGTTATAATGATTTTCTAGCTCAAATGGACTCGTGATTCCAAGAAATGATAGACTATAACAGGTCACTGTTGCTTAGTGTAAAAGGTTAGGTGCGGTAGTCCACCGGTTAAGGTGAACAACTTTTGGTTCCTAAGTAACTGGTTCATAATTCACCCAATCTCTTTCGTTTCAGATAACTTGTGGTATTATAAGAATCCCATCTTGACGCTTGTTTAAATTTATTCGAGGTTTAGCTTTTATTTGAATGATAAACATGCCATTGTTAATATATCATAAGCGTAATGATTCATTTTGCATATGTACTTTACTATTATGTGTACTTGTGTGAGTATCTGTTTAATCATTATCCTATTAACCTTTTGAACTATATACTCACACACTCAACAAGTTATACTTTATATGTGGCTACGTGTCAACATTCATTTTTCATCTATTTATTACTCTCATGGTTTGTGTACTGATATGTTTCCATTAGATGTGATAATCCCAAAACATTCTGTATGAAAACTTGTTATCTCATTGTCTGATGACATCAGTCATCAGTACGACATAGGAATAATATGGGAAATATAAACATGAATTGATAAGATTATTACTAATTTAATTTATTTATATTTTTAATTTGTTCAATCAACATTTAAAAGAGTTATTGGACAGAATAATTAAACAGCTTACTTCAACATGTCATAACTGTTGACAACTACATCCAAAGTGATAATGATGACTTCCACAATTAATCCATTGAACAAAAGTACTTGGTATATATGTGTCAAGACAGAATACGAGACACTTCAACAACAACAACAACAAAGAAAGCAAACTTACCAAATAATTTAATGAATTTAATAAATCATTAATTTTTCGTGAATAATGTAAACCTGTATGACTTTTAGCTAATAAACGTTGTAATTTTTTACGTATAGATATACGATCCACATTAGCCATTAGCATAAATGCAATCATATTATGCATTATATTAACTAATAAACAATCTTCTTCTAATTCCATTTGTTTACGTTTCAATAAAGAAGCATTTTGATATTTTAATAAAAGTTCTTTTGGTCGAAAATCCATACCTGAATGTGAATTGAAGAAATGAAAGGCATAATCATTAACAGTGATTAAGTGTGGTGTAAGTTCATAATATGATGAGTAAAAAGTTACGGTAAATGTAGTGTGGATACTGAAAGTATTTTCTGACTTAGTGATGATGATCTAGAGATGACGTATTGGTTGCATGTACGTTTTGTTTATTTATTCGAACTCATAAACATTGGTACAATTGGGCACAGAATACATATGCATCAGACAATAACAATGAGGCCAATATTAGTTATCATTGATTTGTGTGAAGGCTGTGATAATACACGGGAGCCCAAACAGAAGCAGGCGCTTTTATTAAGGGACCACACCCCGAGCCTTTGATCTAAGGGTCTAATCCACAAGGCAGTGGAGTAATGTCACAAGATGCAGTACTATGGCAGCCAGTGCCCAACAATACGTTCATACGCCATTTGTTTCCTTCAGGATCCTGGAGTCCATGTGCAACAATGCTTTTGAATCAGGATTTCCCAACTCGCCTAGACGGATACTCCACATTAACCAACCCATTTAAGCTCCGGACATTTAGTTTGCATCACCTCGATTTCGTAAACAACATCACCGCCACGAGAATGCAGTGAGTAGGACTTCCTTGTCGGTGGTTGTATAGGCATGGTCATGTGAAATCAATTCGAGAGAGAGAGCGAATTTTCCCAACCGTCGACCGTACCAGGGTATTTGAGGGCTGCATGTACGTGAATGATACACTAAGATTTGATTACAACTAGCACGATTGGCATTACTCACTAATGAATATTGTTATACTGGAATTAATTAAGCCGTCCAGTGATGACTAATTTCATATCAACTGCCTGTATAACTGAAGTCAAGTGATGATAAAACTACATGTCAAAACATTTTGTAGTTACTAGTTTTCAGAGTTAACGTAGTGAAACATGATTTCAGGGAGATGGTCAAGAATATCTACTCTCTCTTATTGTTTATTTTATTGAACTGTAAATATGATTTCCATAGATAATTAGATGTGCACGATGAAGATATTGAAAACAAAAACGTAGAACATTTTAAGACCCTTATACGACAGTAAATAAACTTTCTGAGTCATGAATAGAGAGGTATTATTGGTTGTTACGTCTCTTTCAATAGTCGGACTCTATGTATAAACGACTTTCACAATTGTTAATCATAGTTGTTTGGTAATTTACATCTCTCAATGTACATTCTTAAAGGATGGTTAGGCTATTCAACATAATGAAATCATAATGAAGCTGTAAACCATCAAATTACAAATTAGTACATTCATTATAAAACTCAAAAAGTCTTAGTTTCAATCAGCTATTTACTCCCTTTTTTGGCTTTAGAAACATTGATCAAATGCTGAGAAGTAAACCTATACATCGATCATAAATTAATTAACCAGATATTCTATGAGTAAATTACTTATTTAACAAGTGACTGTTAATTGTATTTGAAAAACTAATTTTGATATTATATTGATTTGTAATGGATAGGACATACACTACGCAGATCGTCAAACTGCATCACGAAGCAAGTCCTAACTTAGAATCCTGAAGTGAAACGGAAAAGAGGAAGGCCAAAGAACACATTACGTCGGGAAATAGAAGCAGATATGAAAAGGATCAACAGGAACTGAAAGGAGCTGGAAAGGAACGCCCAGGACAGGGTTGGATGGAGAATGCTGGTGAGCGGCCTATGCTAGCCAATGAAATATACTTGTCCTTCAGGTCACTTCTGATTGCCATCGAATAGACCTCGTATTAGGCTACTTCTGACTGGCTTACTATATAACTTATATGGTGGTAATTAATAAGCGGCAATCAACTCGTTAGCTGTCTATCGATCATCGATGTACATCCACTCTATGAAAAAAGATCTATTTTCTTCACATTTTAAGATTCATAACAAAGAACTAACCAAGTATATCTCGTTCCTGTGCAACTGTATCTAAAAAGGAATCTTCCCAAAATTGTAGATTACCCAATATTTTACTTTTATGCCATTCAGTATCGAAAATATCTTCAAATAAGTAAGTCCATGGTACTTTCTTCATCTTAGATGGAGATACTGTCATGACTGATGATGAATTTGGTGGAGGTGGAGTTGGTATCAGCAAAGTTAGTTTACACATATGACATTCTGATTGTTTTCTTCGTTGTTCTATCTCTATTTGTTGTTGATGTTTATTATCTATATCTTCATTTTCTGATTCAGTATCATTAAAATGAAATTTTAAGTCAGGACGATAAACTGCTGGTGGTGTGCATGTATTCGGTGAAGAAGTAAATATTGTACATGTGGTTTGATCGCCTGTATCATCAGATGAACTTGATGTGATTGATGGATCCGTTAAAATTAAGTGTGATTGGTAATATCTATTTAAGAAAATTAAAACCAGAGTTGAGTAGGAACCCATGGACTGAATAAAATAGATTATAAAACTTTTATAAGCATGATCTCGAATACAATCGCGCAGATCTCTAATCGATTTTTATGATTGTACAATACTGATTTCCCATCAAACTTAATCAACCTCGTAATGTTCACAGTTCACAATTTAGAACTTCAACAAATGTCGTAAAGCTAATCTCACCTATACTTCCCAAAGTTTTCCTTATTTCTAAAGATTAGGTAGCTGACTTTAGTTTACAGTAGAAATAATGTTCTTACAAAAAACTCATCTGTTTAATTTTCAGTACTGCCTGCATTCCATAGATCATATTCACATCACCATCAAGCTAAGAAACTTATCATCGTGTTATACTACAATGAGGGCATCTTCATAGAATTTTCCATTCAACTCAAATTTCATATTCATTATTTATTACATGTCAGTAATGTTTATCATAAATTTTTTTAAGGAAACTAATGTAGTTTAAACTATTCAGATCAGTATTTGTAACCGTTCATGTCATTGGTATAAAGGACTACAATCGATCTGCCTCCTTTGGCATATCAGATATGTCATCAGATATCGAATGCTATATGAATCGCTTCGACAGTGCCACATATTCAAAAGTTTTGATTAAGTTGGATATTAGTAAGCAGTTGAATCAAAAATGCGCGTTTCATTCAGTTTGAGACTCTCTAGCTGGATGTACCTGGATTTTAAATCCATTACCTTCGGTTTCAAAGGCTGAGTGCGTTATCTATTATCCCGACTAGGACGAAGCACGCCTCATAGATTCCATTGTTAGCTACTACCTAACTTTACTACTCAGATCTGAATTACTTGTAATACTAGTCACGTTCACCTCCCTTTCCTCAATCATTTCATAACACAGAAAATATGAGACAAATTGGTCGAAAACATTCATATTTGCAGCAAGTACTACATTTTAGTTAAACACCTACCTGTAGCCAAAACTTCGTTGACTTTTACGATTAGGCAATTCCGGTACATAATCTGGCGGTATATCATCATCGTTGACGCCATTCTCATTATCACGATGTGGTTTTAATTTACTGATTGATTCATGTAGTTTAGCATCAGAAGCAAACAATTTATCGAATTTTTCACATTCATTATTTCGATTCACTGTAATGCAACTTCCAGTATGACCAACATTGATAGTGTTGTTTGCATTATTCAATGGTTGAATATTGTGTTTAATAATATCAGTACTATCTGATTTAAATATAGGCTTTGATTGAATTTGTTCATTATCTTCTCTATCCGATGATGGTTCACTCATTGTAACAATAACATTGGTGAACTGATGACGACCATGACCACGAAATAGCTCTGATATGAATATTTTTTTCACAAGAAAAACAAACAAAAAAGAAATAGAAGCGATCAGGTACTAAGAAAATGGAAAAATTATAGTCTATTATTCGTTTATTGGGAAGAAGACATGGTTAGTTAAAAATTACAACATTGACGAGTTTACAGATCAAACAATCGGTGCAATATAATCTCTCTACATTACAATGTGATGAAATCGACAAGTAAGAATATTGGTGAAGGAACAACAGCAACAGCAACAGCAACAACAACAATGCAAACATATAAATAAGTTAGCAAAGACCCCATTCTACACAACATATTCATACATGGTATATGGGACTAGACTACTACTAAACAAACTACACATGAACACATTAATATTTTTTCTTAAAAATGCTCACTATGATCAAGTGTATTACTATGATGCATTATATGTATACCCCTAATAGTAAATGGTGAATTAATATAAGGTATAGTTTGAGGTGATGATGAATCTGCCACAACAGTTTGATGTTGTAATAATAGATCATTAGAATTGCGATCAACATTATCCTCAAGATGATCGTTGATGATATGATTTCCCATTGTATTTGTTGAATTTTGAAAAGGTGGTTTTTTTAAATTTTTTAATAATTTTGATGATACACTATTATATAGATCATTGAATTGTTGATTAGAATAATCAAGTTTTGTTTTGAATAAAATTAATTTATTCGAAACATTAGTTAGCTCAAATGTATTTTCTAATAAATGTAATGATTTCGATAATTGACTATTGGTTAAATCAGTAGTATTAGTAGTAGTAGCGGTAGTGGTAGTGGTAGTGTTATTACTGATATCCGGTGATTGTGAATGATTAAAAGATGACATTTTCTGATATCTTTGATGATGATGATGATGTTTTGTGGGTGCAGTTATGCAATATGATGGCTGTGATACAGATGAATCTATAGAATATCCATAAGAATGTACTGAATTAGAATTTGAAACTGTAATCCAATATAAATGGAAGAAATAATGTAATAAATTAACATCAGTAAACAGTGGAAAAATGAAAATTGGAGAAAAAAAATGGTTCACAGAAAGAAATACGAAACGGTTGTTTCGATTTCGCTTGGAACACAGATATATTTATTTATTTATTTTAAAACATAGATATTGGTACAAGGAGGCACCGAATACATATGCGCCACACAAATCTCTTTTGATATGTGTGAGGGCTGTGATACTACACGGGTGCTCAAACCGAAGCATGTAGTTTCCTTAGGGGGTCACACTCCGAGCCTTCGACCTAAAGGTCTAACCCACAAGGCAGTGGAGCATCGTGAGGAGATGCAGTCCCATGGTAGCCGGTGACCACCGATTGGTTCCCACGCCATTTGTTCCTTTAAGATACTGGAGCCCATGTGCACCATTGGTTTGGAATCAGGGTTTTCCAACTCCCCTAGGTGGACTCTCCATGTCCACCAACCTGGTTACAGCGCCGGACATTCGCTTTTCGTTCTCTCAATTTCGTGAACAACACTCCCGCCACGAGAATGCAGTGAGTAGGACTTCCTTGTTGGTGGTTGTATAGGCCTGGTCATGTGAAATCAATTCGAGAGGGAGAGCGGACTCTCCCCACTCTCGGCCGTACCAGGGCATTTGGGGACGGAATATATATATATATATATATATATATATATATATACTTCCTTAAACTGTGTATATCCATGAATCAAATGGAACACACTATATCCTTTTCGATTATATTCTTAAATTATGAAAGTAGTAACATGATAACAAGTTATTTTATTATAGACTGAGTTCTTTGCATTTCGGTAATATCGATAAGAAAAAGACTACCAACTGATTGATAATGAAGTGAGGTATAGGGTATTAAGTAAACATCATAAAATCTTTTGAAGATGTTATGAATCTTCATTGAAAAAATAATTACTAATCCAGTGAAAAATTGCTTACTTACAAACTAACCTTTCCTGCTTCTAAGTCTCAATAGGCAGGTTTCCCTTATTTAGAAATTCTCATTGATGCAACTGACTATCCGTTGTCTTACTAACACTTAACCACTTTTTACCTTGATAAATAATTTTGACTGGCTTAGGATTATACGTTGGAAGTCTAGGGATGGACAAACTATACAACGGTATTGATTTTCAAAATGAGTGATATAAGATGGAGATTTCTCAGTTATGATCCATGTCACAACTGTGATCAGTAGTTATCGATGTAGAGTGCCATGGTTCAAAATCGATCATTGTAGTAATTTAGATACATTTATTACTTAACTTCGCTAAATCTTCAGTTTCAATGCCAATTTACTTAGTTAGTACAATAGGGATTCTGTATAATGAAGAGATATGTGTTCATCACTAACTGCAATCGAATAGAAAGAATTTTTTTAATCAAACGAACAATGAAGAGTTACTTGTTCTACGTTCTGGACTTATTAACTAACTATTCAATGTGTATGGAATAGATTAGTATCAGTTGATGGCATAATAAAGAAACATCTCGTAATAAGATCTAGCTGACTTATTCAAGAGGTGAATTACAAAGAATAGTGATGGTCAACGCAAATGCAAATTAAGCACTCGATTCTAAATTAAGTTTTATGAAAAATTCTAAGAAACAATCTTAGTATTAGCACCAAAGATTTGTGTAAAACATTCAATTTGAAGTTTATATTATATTAACTACAAAACAAGAAGGGGAGTGGATAGCCGTTTTTGTTCTAGCATAAGACGTTTTAGTAGTTCGACAAGACTGATGGGAGTTCATTCATGTGTTGGGCTAGTCATTTCATTCATGGTCATCAAGTATAACGAGTCGATTGAAGAAATGAGGGATACTGCTTTTAAATAATACATAAATGACTGAAGGTTAATGCACACTCTACAAGGCAAGGACTAGGTAATAAACTCGATCCCTGAAGAGTTTGTGGTCAAGTTCCACACAAGGATTAAATAACTCAGCAACACTCCCTCTTGAGTTTCAATCGTTATCTAGTTGAAGTCGATCCATAGTGTAACCTAAGAACAATTTTAAACTGCGAGAATGGAAGCAAAGTAATATATGCAGATGTACAATTCGTCAAACAAAAACGAGTAGAAAGTAATTAGGTGGCCTACTTGAATATGTAGTCTACCTGTTTCTGCCATCTGAATATTTCAACAAAGTATCTGTTTAATTCCGCCTGGAGATCCTCGGAGGCTACGGCCGGTCCCAAGCCCGGATAATGGAGGAGGGTTGGGCATGGAGTTACCGACCCTATCCCGAAGAAAACCAACTCGCTAAAAAAAACACTAACCAGAAATATCTGCTTTTTGTTTGTTTTAACGCATCATTATGTCAACTAATTGCATAACCTATTCAAGTGCGTTTATGAAATTTGAGCTAGGAACTCTATACTGTAGCAAAAATATAATATTGAATAAAGCTAGTAATAATAAAACCACTATTATCTGCATTAGCCCCCAAATTCTCTGGTACGGTCGAGAGTGGGGAGACTCCGCTCTCCCTCTCGAAATGTTCTCACGTGGCGACGTGCATAAAACCACTCCCAGGGAAGTCCTACTCACTGTCTTGTCGCACCACTAGTGTTATTTACGAAATTGAGAGGACGAAAAGCAAATGTCCGGCGCCTTAACCGGGTTGGTGGATACGGAGGATCCGCCTAGGGGAGTTGGAAACCTTCATTCCAAACAAATGGTGTACATGGACTCCAGGAGCGTAAGAAAATACATGGCTTATTGTTGCTCACCGATTACCATGGGACTGCATCTTGTGACGTTACTTCAATGCCTTGTGGATCAGGCCTTTAGATCAAAGGCTCGAGGGGTGGCCCCCTAAGAAAACCACTTGTTTCGGTTTGGGCACCCGTTTAGTATCACAGCCCTCACATAAATCGAATGATTTATGTGGCGTATATCTGTTTGGTGCCTTCTTGTATCAATGTTCATGTGTTTTAATAAATAAACAAATAAATAATCTACAATCCATTGAAAACGTTACAACTAGATGAGCATATAATAAAGTTGAGATGATGAATAAACATTGCTACGTTCATTATTTAGAAACGTAACCTGAACGTATATACATATATACATACAAACGAATATATATCTATCTTGCATGTGACCTTAACAAATCAATCTACCATAAGTCCATAATCTTGTGAATTAGAAACAAGTGATTATTACATGGTCGAAATGAAGCAACAAAAGAATATAAGATTTTGTCGGACAAATATAATCAGTCAATCATATGTGTCCTTTATTCATATGATAACAATGAATAGAACAAATAAATTTATATATAATGAATGAAAGGAATTGAAGACGATCAGATCAGTATTTTAAGATCAGCTGATAGTACATAAGGTAAATTATACGTCAATTTAATTAATCTTAATTAATGTGAAGAAGAAATAAGAAAGAAACGTGAATAGTCAATGTTGACAAATTAAGATATTTCATGAAGGTTTGACTTCCAGAGACCAGGTTACATATTCAAATCTGAATTCAATTACTTTGCTTTGTATTGCCAAGTAGTGTCAATGGCTGGTCATACATAAAATATGAGACTCAAAGTTTTAGTACATAAATTTGTATTTGATAAATTAGTCGGAATTCCACAAATTGTATAAAAGATGATAGTGTGAATCGATTACTGATTATTAATTTAGAGATCTATACACTATCGGCAATGATAAGAAAAGAGGGTTGGTGAATTTTCAACAATCGAATCATACTTGACGGAGAAGATTTGGAAGATGTAAAAACCTTTACATATTTGGGCAGCATCATTGGTGAACACAGTGGATCTGATGCAGATGTGAAGGCGCGGATCGGCAAAGCAATAGCAGTATATTTACAACTGAAGAACATCTGGAACTCAAAAAAACTGTCAACCAACACCAAGATCAGAATTTTCAATACGAATATCAAGACAGTTCCACTGTATGGGGTGGAAACCTGGAGAACTACGAAAGCCATCATCCACAAGATACAAGTGTTTATTAATAGCAATCTACGCAAAATACTTGGCATCCGTTGGCCGGACACTATTAGCAACAACCTACTGTGGGAGAGAACAAACCAGATTCCAGTAGAGGTTAGTCAGTCAGTAACAACGTAGAACTTCGTACGTACGTACATCAGTTCGAGTTGCCACACCACATTAACACAGAGATGCAGTTGACGATTCAAACTCCGTAGTGGTAGAGGTAGTAAGAGCATAATCCAGAGAAAAAAAGGACAATGAAGAATCAGGAGATTAGAATTTGGGAGAATACAAAGAGTGTATGCACCTGCGCCATTGCAAACGATTTTGAGCCATGTCATTCAGGGTTTCTAACCATCTGCTGCTATCATCTCGCGGTCCCCAACCAGGTAGTCTATACCTACCAGTGGAGGAAGAAATCAGGAAGAATCTCTGGAAGTGGATAGGACACACATTGAAGAAAGCCTTCAAATGGGTCGCATGGCAAGCCCTCACATGGAATCCTCAAGGTCAAAAAAGAAGAAGAATAAGACCAAAGAACATATTACGTCGAAAAATGGAGATAGATATGTGAAGAATGAACAACAGTTGGATAGAACTAGAACGAAAGGCCTAGGCAGAGTGGGGTCGACAATTCTGTTCGGCGGCCTATGCTCCATTAGGAGTAACAGGCGTAAGTAAGTGAATTTTCAAACATGTCATTATTACCAACCAATATCATATACACGTCTATTTCGTCTGAGTAAAAACCTCTTGCCTAAGAACACTTTAAATACACTCAAGACTGTGACTGCAGAGATAGTGAGATGAATGCTGAATTCAAACGTTAGAAAGAAAACAGACTGTATGGACCAAAAGAATATTTGATTCTATATATTTTTTAAGTCAATAGTTTTATTTCAGTTCAATGAAAGGCAAAAAAACAATGATGTGTAATTGCCTTAATAAAAATACCGTTCATACAATTACATTTCATCATAAATATCAATCAAAAATCAGTTTAAATATGCAATGACATGATGTCAACTCTCGCTTCAAGTACAAAAAGCATTACTAAATAACAGTTGGAATCTATGCAGGTAAATAAATCAACAAAAATGTAACTCAAGCATGAAATCACACAAAACTATGTGACAGTCACTTAGATACGAGGTAATAAAGATTATGTTAATTGATTGATAAGTGATGATCAATGTCATGTCTTATTCAGTCCTTGATCGGCCGACTAAAAATAATAACTCGATGTTTTGAGGCAATTAGCAGGAGATCCTAGATCTATGTTTTGTGTCAGTAGGTGTATGTGGATGTTTGGGGAAAAGAGTATCAAAGTAACACAATTCAAATCCAGATCGCCCGTAGTAACAGTCAATAATCTGATCAATTATTCAAGCTGAGATAGACTTCCAGTACTATCAACATGTTTACACCAACAGAACATTCAACAGTAACCAATATCATGTCTTTTTTTATCCTTAGCATTGAGAACATTTCTGTTGGTCCGTGAGTAAATAGTCGCAAAGTGCTACGATAACAACTAACAAATAGAAAGAAAATTCATCATCTAATCTTCATATATATATATATATATATATATATATATATACTTTAATGTCATTCGTCTTTTTACAATGAACAAACGAATAGAATAGGAGGAAATATAACACAAACAACAATAGTCTTACCTAGTTTTGAACCTTTTCTACTGTATGATTCACAGTCCGATAAATCTAATTGATTATTCTAATGACAAAATATCAGAAAAGGGGAGAGAATGAACAAAATGTTGGATAGTAAAATATTATTACTGACACAATAATAAGTCAAGTAATTTAAAAGACTTAAATCGGTAAGACTATAATCTATGGACGACCTTTGAATGACGCTAGACTGATTTTGAGTGTCCGCTTAATAACCAGGACCAAATGAGGGGGTCATAAACCAATGTAAGGAATTACAATTATAATTTGCAGTTGATGATTAAGGTTAGGAATTAGATTTAGGGTTTTTCATCACGTACTGACATCAGCTATAATGCCAAAACTTTATTTACCAAATGGATGAGTGAGTTTCGCGCCGAAATCTGAGACCTGTTATCTTATACGTGATTGGTTCATCCATATATTATAGTCTTGTCCTTAAATATATAGTTAAACGATGATATCATACAATGTCCTTTCAAATGAACAGGGTTTATAAACTGTAACTAAACAAAAACAGGCAGTCTGTCACATTTGTTGAAAGCACATATTTCTTATTTTGTTAAAGTGAAAAAAGTAGTATATCCGTAAGGAGACCTAAGAGTTTTAAGTTCAATGTTGTACGAGATCAGGAATGAGAATTTCGATGACGTCAATAGATCAGAGAACTCTATTCCGTAAGCTGAGATGATGAATCGGGTGTGTGAGCGATTAACAATTCCTGTCTACCACCAATGTGGAAGAATATTTCTTCTCTAGTTAATAGGAAAAGAAATAGTAATACTGATAGTCTCGTGAACTTGCAAATATGACTGTAGAAAGTATACCGCTTGTAGCATGTGACGATGTGATGTATGCACTAATGATTCCCAATATGAGTTAAATAGTTTTGTGCAGTCTGTTGGCTAAATTGTTCACGAACTAACGTCAGCTGACAAACTACTGATTGTGATAGTCATAGGTTTAATATAATGCAAGATCATGAATAAGAACTACTAAAGATCCTCAGACCAGAACGAAATAACTGTTTCATCCCCCATGATTTCTAATGGTTGCTATTTCACTGTACCGTTGAGATGGCATTAAATTATAGATTAACATGCTCTGTTACCCACTATTAAGGAATAGGTTGGAATTCCAATTTCAGTTCCAACAGTCCAGTAGAATCAATAATTAACAACTATGAAGTCTGGCTGAAAGTTTTATATACAGACATTTACTTGAGTTACCATTTGATAAATTACACAAAGTTGGCACTCAGTTTAAAAATTGTGTACCTATCGATAAGGAAAAGCACAAACTGTAATCAGACTAATAGGAACTGTAGGTTCCGTATGTCAGCGCTCTATAAATCAAATTATCAGTGTAAATATCTCAAATAGAACGCGTAAATAGATTGTTTAATGATATATATGAAGTGTTTAATCCAATTTGAACAGTTTAAAAACAAACTATAGGATTATCTCTTTAAAGAAGCTCGAACCATACTACAGAGCTAGGAGTTATGATCTTAACATACATATAAATTTGCTATGTTTGAAGTGATTACGAGTTCATCTAACCTGAGAATGGACCAAAGACTCTGACACAACGACAGATAAGCTACCTATTCCAACGCGTCCCAGCACAGCTAACTAGACAGAGAAGTCCAAGATAGGAAGAGGGAAATATATTTCTCAAGCAGCCAGAAGCACGAATAATTACGACAAGCATAAATTAGCTGCTTATATACAACATAAAAATGTCCTTGAGAAGCGTTACAAAATAGCATATTAAAAGATAAAACGAACCAAAAACGTTTAAGATCCTACCAAGTAGGAAATACAACATAAAGGTGAAAATGAGTGCTCTTGTCGTGAATTGGGGATCTAACATGCCTGACAGTATTGTCACTTTCAAAGGCTTCAATTTAAGGTATAATAATAAGAATAATTCAATAGTCATTAACTTAAACTATGTCACAAGTAACTAACTAGATTTCTTAATTCCTATTTACCCACCATTTGGTGTTTGATATAAAACGAGAAGACAAAAAAACAACGTGATTTTTTATTAAGTCATGTGTTAATTTCATATAAATGTTCAATAAGCAATCATGTGTTTCATTACTAATCATTAAATATAATACGTTGTCAAAGTGACTTATTGGTTGACAGAAAGAGTACTGTTTTTATTATTATTAGAATGCGTTTTGTGGATATTACAGTAATTTTAATAGTTGAGATCATGAGTTAATTGAATTTAGAACACCATGGAAAACCTGGAAGCACTTGAGGGCGTTTCGTCACATTGTCAGACTCCTCAGAAGTGCGCATCTACGATCCCGCCTCGTGAGATTCGAATCCAGGTTTCATCGGTCTCGCGCACGAACACGATGCTTTAAAACCTCGAATATGTCATTTTATTTTTAGTGACTATAATACATCACAATATTTTCTCTTATTCACTAATATACTCGTTTCAAACACTACAGTAGTATTCTTTTTCTTTGTCTAAGATGAAGATATCATTTTTTAAGTAATTGATAAATTTATGTTCAACTCTCAACATTTAAGCGCTTAAACTACAATACAAAATATTTTACTAGTATAGGGGTTGTGGAGATTACGTTTTTGATTGAGATCATGAACCGATTGATGTTAGACCACCACAATTGAGGTAGATACCTGTCTCTACCTCAGTACAACGGAAGTTGGTCGCGCAATTTCGTGGATTGGTTGATGTTAGAAACTATCACCATTGGATGCCGGCTCAGTGGTCCAGTTGGTTAAGCGTTCGCACGCGAGACCGAAGGCCCTGGGTTCGAGTCCCGCGAGCGGGATCGTGGATGCGCACTACTGAGGAGTCCCACGATAGGACGAGACGGCCGTCCATTGCTCCCAGGTTTTCAATTGTGGTGGTCTAACATCAATCGGTTCATGATCTTAATCAAAAACAAAATATTTTTTAACAGCTATTAGCATAGTTTAATAAAATTAAATAATAATGGTACATTTTATAAATAACCGGATATTCGAAGAAGATAATTACGATCTTGATAGTAAGTCTTTGTAATGCAACACATACTGATGAAAATACTATACAAAGATGTAAGCAAAATTGACTGTTACTTCATAAGATTGAAAACAATGTGTATGGGAGAGTTGTTTAATTTCAGAAAAGCTTATTTAAATGGTCTACTAGATTTAACATCAGTTCAAACTTTATTCGGCCTATTTCGAAACACTGAAATCTAATGATCCATATAAAAAAAAACAGAGTACAATTTATGAACGAGACAATCAGAAATATTTGAGCGATATCATGGCCACGGAGCCTATTTCAGTGCCCAATGCTCATGTACGATCGGTTTACAACGAATTTTAAAGTTATAATTGAGCAAGTAAAACAAATGGATTATAAAGAAGGTCCTTTATTTGTGATTTCGACAACTGATGGACCTAGTACAGACTATCGTGGTGATGTTGTATTTCGATGTACTGTATGTTGGAGGAAAAAGTCTCCTAGATCAGGAAGTTTTTTTGTACGATCCCGATTGACACTAAGACAGATTATGATAACTGTTGTAAACTGAATAAATGCTGTAACCTTTGCAAATGCTACTGAAGCTTCGGCACTTCAATGGTATGAACACTGTAGAGATATATGTGCAATGAAAATGACAACCTTGCACCAGTCCTTTGGATGAGTCAGGAAAGTCGTGTAAATCGACGAAACAGTCGTTAAAAAAACTCAAATTCAGTAGAGAAATAAATGATAAGATGACTGGGTAGGTAGCAGTTCCTTAAATATACTTAGCAGGTCCTTGATATATATGATAGATCATCTAAAAAAACACTCCCAGTGCAAGAGAAACCGATAAGCTACAAATATAATACCAATTATACGAGAGTATGTGCAACCGGGTACCACAATATACACAAATGACTGGAGAGCATACCGATGACTATTTAGACTTGGTTACGTAGATCATATTGTCGTTCACAAGAGACATTTTGTGAACCCATCACGGGAGTACACGTCAATAAAATAGAAGCAATGTGGTAGAGGCTAAAACAATTTTTGCGACCTTATTATGGCTCCAGAGTTCGATTATTATGTAGTCCCATGAATAAATTCTTGTAGCGCATGCATTACGATTTCACAACTGCAGAGTCCCTTTCCAACCTTGTGAAATTTTTAAACCATGTTAACGATGTGTATTCACCCTCATTTTTTTTTTTGGTTTTTGTGTATTTTCACTCTATACAAACTGTTTTCTAACTGGCTGAAATTCCTCAACGTCACTTACGATTACTTCAAAGGTCGTTCATAAATTATAGTATCGCCGCTAATCTTACTAGATATCTATGAATAAAAAATACTTCCACACTTAATACACCCGATTTTAAGAAAAATGATCAGTCGGCTTACTTGATATCGAACTGAAGAAATATCATTACCAACTAATCTTCTTGCTGGTATAGGTGATCTCAATTCCGTTGTGGGTGTAGTTGGCATGCTATTCCAAAAGAATTTTTCATCATGATTATTATCTATGTGCCCTGTTCGATTAGGCAACCGATAGAAATGCGTATGTGCAACTTCCATAAGCATAAACGCTGAAGCCAAACCACCACTTTTCAAAATACCAGTAGAATAGGATAACCAACTAGTGTTACTCAATGGATTTGGAATATTTGACGATGGTGATTTATCTCTAGTAATGCGATCATATTGATTTGTAGTTGAGAATACAATATCCGGTCGAAAACTATATTCTAAACCATTGATCATTTGTTTAAGCGTCCATAAAATTGCTTTATATTGATCCCACTGTTGAATAGGCTAATAGAAGATAGAAATTAAAAGAAACAAGGTAAATAAATAAGACTTTAAAAAAATGATAAGTTGAACACATTGGTCACGAGTTAATCTGAAAAACCAAAGTTTTCAGTGATAGTGAATTCCATGAGCTGGAAGCTCTAATTATTATCTTATACAACATGATTGGCACCTTGCATAAATGGGGATGATAATTTGGAGTTATCCTATGACGGCAATTCAGTTCGTTTTTAGACAACATGCACTTTTCCAATTCAGTTAACTACTTTATGGGTTTAGCTTCTAATAGTTTGATTAGTTGATTCTTACACCCAATCTGTATCAGCATCTCTTTTGATTTAGTATCCTTTGGAGACTTTTACAGCTTTAAGATTTCCTAAGTTCATTATCGTACGACTTTTTCTGTCACATCCATAGTTGTCTGTATTCATTGATATAGTTAACGATGTATTGTGCCATTAAAAGAATAATCTATGCTCATGTGCACCTATGAAGAAGGGCGTCCCATATCCTACTACATGGTCTCTCGTACAATTTACTAAGTAAATTATATCATTGTTTTATCCTTCCATTTGAATACAATAGAGTGAAGGGATTGTGTTAGTTTGTAAAGTATGCCGATTAGAATGGTTCGTAAAATACTTTGCTGATTTAAGACAATTTTCATGGCACATTTTGATCGAGTTGTGGAAATAGGTAAATAATTTTTTTCTCCAGTAAAAGTGCTACTGTAATATTTAGCCGTTTCGAATGTCTCTAAATATCTTATTCAATGTACTAATTGATTCGTCACTAATGGAATTAGATTTTCTACACACTTGTATCTTTATAAGGATAAGGGTTAGGAGTGAAATCCAGGATGCGCGTTTCGTCCTATTCGGGACTCGTCAGCTGAATATACCTGCATCTCGGATTTGATGTTCACTCTAGGACTCAAACCCAGTACCGAACGCTTCAAACACCACAGCGTAATTACAAAATCATCATACTTACCACATCATCAATATGCAATTGATTTGGTAGAACATCTTTTGAGAGATTATCATTTATACGAGCAATTAATAGATTTCGATAATTCTCATCTTGTAATAATGTGTTAATTTGATTACGTGAAAATATATTTGGTATTCGACCTTGTTTAATGGATTTTGATAAATCAATGATTGTACGTTCATTTTCCAATCTGAGCAAACAATTAAAATTGAGCGAATGATGATACAGTATAATTTAATATTTATTCGAACACATGAATAATGGTACCGAATACATATGCGCCACACAAGTCACTTGAATTGTGTGGGCTGTGATACTACCCGGATGCCCAGATCGAAGCAGGCGGTTTTCTTAAGAGGTCACACCAGGAGCTGTCGACCTAAATGTCTAATCCACAAGGCATTGGAACAACGTCACAAGACGCAGCCACACGGTAGCCAGTGACCAACAATACGTTCATACGCCATTTGTTCCCTCAGGATACTGGAGTTCGTGTGCACTATTAGTTTGGAATCAGGGTTTTCCACTTCCATCATGCGTATCCTTCATACCCACCAAAGCGTCGGACATTCTCTTTTCATCCTCTCGATTTCGTAAACAACACATTCACCACGAGAATGCAATGAGTAGGACTTCCATGTTGGTGGATGTATGTGTATGACTCTCCCCACCATCGGTCGTACCAGAGCATTTGAGGGCGCTAAATATATTTTTATTGAATAATAAGGATTTTTATGTAGTGTTATTCGTCTTTAGAGAAATTTCATGCTATTCTTTCAACCTGTTCAAATTCAATCAAGCATAAATAACAGTCATGATGTAATGATGTACATTTATTTACTTTGTAGATTCAGTTCACTTGCCTAGGATTAAAACAATCCTACTTTCATTTTGAGCAGATATGGGTGGTAGCTAACAGTGGAATGCTATTTATGACTCGTTAGCTGGATGTTTCTGAATCCCAGAGTTAATATTCACTCCGGGACTCGAACTCTACCTTCCGCTTCAAAGGCCATCGCTGCCATCTCGAAATTATTCAAAATAATCATAATTGAGCTCAAAACTATTGCACTGACGTCTGCACCATTAAAATACTGGTGTGTGGGTGAGAATGATAATGATTGATTGTCTGCTTAGTAAGACAACCTCCTCAGTAGTCCGCATTCACAATTCCGAAACCGGGAACGAACCAATGATCTCCGTTCATGATTTAAATAGAATTGCATAAGATCCTATATTGTTTTGCGTCATTTTCCATACCATAGAGTTTTGTGACGAAGAGACGCAAAATTTTAGTGTTTTTAATGTCTATCCCACTGAGACTGAAGTATTTCAAAAGGAGCTTAGACATTTGAGGAGCAATACGTCAAATCTTGTGATTTAAGAATAAAGAAATGTCACCGAATATACAAACCAAAAATTACCAAGATACTGACCGTTTTTTATGTATTTGTAAAGCAGAAAGAGGAACATCTTTGAATGCTAAACTTCGAAGACGGTCTATAAAGATTGAAAAAGACAAAAAAGATAAATGAACTATATCTGAGACTATCAAAAACTTTATCACTGACTTAATTATTCAGCTGAACATTCCTCAACTAGTGTGAGGATCAGAAGTACATATATTTTATTACTGACCTCTGTAAACCTCCCAATCTACCAACAGATATATATATAAGATCCGGTTATAAGAAACAAAAAACTTCCCAACTAATGTTAGTCGGTGAGACTATAATTTATGAACAACCTTTGAGTGACGCTAAAGTGACCGCGTGAGTGTCCACCTAATGACCAGGATCAAATGAGGGTTATAAACGAATATGAGGAATAAGGATTTACAGTTGATGGTTAAGGTTAGGAATTAGATTTAGGGTTTTCATCATGAACTGACATCAGCTATAATTCCATGAATCTATTCAGCCAAATGGATGAGTGAATTTCGCGCCAAAATCCAAAACCTACTATCTTATACATGATTGGTTCGTCCATAAATTATAGTCTCGCCTGTGTGAAATAGAAATACTTAGTGGGAATTTTCAATGGTTATAATTGTTTCAGTTCATATATAAAGAAATGATTTGCACAAGTAGATACGGTAGGATATTGTTATTTTAACATAATTATGCAGTGAACCATGTATTTCAGACACTTGAAAAATATGTAATCGGCTCAAATAATACATTCAGATTTTAAGTATACATGGATTGTGACTAACAATGAGATCCGGGATGCACGTTCCCAGAGTTCATCCGATAGATATTACTGGATTCCTATGCTAATATTCACACTAAGACAAAAACCTTAACAGCTATCGTACTACACATAAAAGCGTTATTCACCAAACTATTGAATGGTAATTAGTCTTTATTAACACCACTATACCTATTAATCATAAAATGTTTAGAACCCTTAAAAATACTCATTACATAACTAATATCAATTTAAGAGTTTCCATAACAATTTGTTCTTACCAACATCTTGTTCAGATGTTGACATGACTCAACATCGTTTGCAATGGCGCAGGTGCATACACCCTTTGTGTTCTCCCAAATTCTAATCTTCTGAATTCTTCATGTCCCTTATTTTCTCTCCAAACTTTATTTCATTGTGTTATACTTCTTGAATAACATCTTCAAGCTCTAATATTTCAGATTACTGCTTATACTCTTATTACCTCTACCACTACGGGATTTGAATCGACCACTGCATCTCTGTGCTAATGTGGTGTGGCAACTTGAACTGATGTACGTACGTACGACGTTCTACGTTGTTACTGACTGACTGACTGACATCTTGTTCAATGAAATTACCACATAAGTTTTAATTTATTAAAACAAATAAACAAATGAAAATCCTACAAAAGACTGGTCTTTTTGAAGAATAATTGACATAACTAACTTGATTTTAACAAATCACCAAATAATAAAGTAACAGATGTATCCCAACTCAAATTATCATCACCAAAATTATTTGATGTTACTGTAGAGCTTTTTTTCGAATCATTACCATTGCCCACAAAAATAGAGGAGGATAAACGAGATACAAGATGTAAAGTATCGTTTGTCGAACGTCTCGATGAAATTGATGACGATCTAGTTAGAGTACCACTTTCTGAATTAGGAACTCCTAAAGACTGTATTCCAGTGTTCTATAAATAAAAAAAGGGATAGAAACTTTGGTAGAAGTACTTAGATGAAGATATCATATTAAAACAATGACTATAAGGAAGAAGTAACAAATCGTCTCGGTTTATGGAACCACTTAAATAAGAATACAAAATATTGATGGTTTTTTAAATACAATTAACGTAACTTAGTTAATAGGTTCAGATTCTATTTAATTTCACTAATTTGCATTATCCCGTCGTTGGTAATGTGAACTACTATTAATAAATCAAAATCCATACCCATCTGAAATCCGTAACTAAGAGCATAACGCGTTAGAGCTCGTTGCAAATAGTGCTGAGTTTAAGTCCCGAAGTGAACGTTAACTCTAGGATGTATGTACATCTAACTGACAGTTACCAAACAAGACAAAACGTGCGCCTCGGATTTCACTACCAGCCGCATTCCATCTATTCCATAAAGTTGAACAGCTATCACTTAGCTGTAAAATCGGATTTATGACTATTAATTAGAGGATAAAATAACATGTTTTTAAAACTGTATTAAGTGTTTCAAATCCACCTATCATACAGTCGGTATACGATGTCTTTAGAAGCAAACGTACCTTCGAAACTACTTAACATTAAAGTAGTAAAATAAATTACAAAAATGAAGGATTTGAAGACGATTAGATGTGAAATTCATTCAAACAAAAGTCAACACCGGAACAAAAGCATACATAAATTAAAATTGGATCAATGTACAATCCATTATTTTTTAGTTTCATTTACCAGATCAGTAACTATTTGAAGGTTTATTCCCGTTAATTTTGAGGATCTAGTGCAACTTGTCGTGCTTAGTTGAACATTTGGGCTACTTGTTCCTACCATCTAGATATTATAACAAGTTATCTGTTTCCTTGTTTGTTTCAACATACCATTATATCTATTAATTGCATAACCTATTCAGGTGTGTTCCTGAAAAATGTACAACCTTTCGTTGTACAAGTTGCAAAAGGGCCCAATCAGGGATATCGTGGTTGCTGGCAATGCGCATCGAAAAGAATGAACATTAATCAAATGTCTATTCCTAAACAGCTAACATGTAACTGCCGATCACTTAATATTTATCGCAAGGATCGATCAAGAAGTAAGAAATGGAAACTTGTTGGAATACTTTGTGCTAAGAATACTATATTGTATCAAAAATATAAAACTGAATAAAGCCATTAATAATAATTAATATATGTATCACTGATAATCTAAGATTGTTCTTCAAACAACTGTATACGAAGAAACTATTTCTTTATAATATAATCTCATATCGACGAACTATTTGGAGCATTGCTGGAGCGGTGACTTAGTGGTCAGGGTGTTCGACTACCAGTTACTAAGTCACAGATTCAATTTACGCTCCATTCACTTCAATCTTAACAACCAAATAGTATTATTAATCCTTACACTTAGAGTGCTGCATATATCCGAGTACCAGTTGAATGAGTTGATTAATCCACTTATTTTTTTTACATAACCTACACCTATTCAAACATAGACAAAATAAACAGTTGAACAAATAACGTAATGGAATGCATAACTATTAAGAATTATCTGAGTACTTTTCTTTAAAAAAAACTTATATCCTACCGTATTTATCAGTTGTTCGTTAATATTCCTGGGATCGGACGTTATCAGAGTAGATTGACTAAATATATACATAAAAAAACAACAGTTAAGAATAAACAAATCAGAATTAAAGAAGATATTGAACATTCATTGATGAACAAGGAGGATAGGATGAAGACGTAAAGGTGACGATTGGCAAAGCAATGGCCGCATTCCTACAATTAAAAAAATATATGGAACACAAAACAACTGTCTGTCAAACAATATTAAAGACAGAATCTTCAATACGAATGTCAAGACAGTTCTAATGTGCGGAGCTGAAACATGGAGAACTACTACAATCATCATCAAGAAGGTACAAGTATTTATATATAGTTGTCTACACAATATACTTAACATTCATCGGCCGGATACCACCAGCAACACCCGACTGTGGAAGAGAACAAACCAGCTTCCAGCTGAGGAGGAAATTAGGAAAAGACATTTAAAGTGGATAGAATATACATTACGGAAATCACCAAACTGTATCACGAGACAAGCCCTAACTTGGAATCCCGAAGTGAAGCGGAAGAGTGGACGGCCAAAGAGCACATTACGTAGGGAAACAGAAGCAGATAGGAGAAGAATGAATAACAACTGGGGAGAACTGGAAAGAATTGCTTGGGACAGGGTTGGATGTAGAGTGCTGGTGGTTGACCTATGCTCCTCCACGAGTAACAGGCGTAAGTAAGCAAGTATTGAACATTGAAAAATAATGGCAATAACTGAAATTCACATATTTATTTATAAATTGATACAATATAATTAAATAATATTAAGTCGACTATTCAGTTAATCTAACAATCATAATAGAGTCTGACAAAAATGTACTTTAGTCAGAGTTATTAAAACAGGATGAATAACAAACAATTCTAAATAATCGTAGCACCAATGATAGTAAGAGAGAGAGAGAGAGACTAAACATTGAAAATATGGTTCGAGAAGAGAGGAATGAAAAGGTATGTATGAAGGAATATCATAACTCCGGATCCACAAGAAAAACAAAGAGTGAATGTATCCACGCGTTAACTAGGTAGTTTGTATTAACTAATAGTCAGTGACAACGTAAAACCTGGTAGGTATGTACATCGATTCAAGTTGCCATACCACATTAGTATCGAAATATGAAGTTGCCAGGCCAGATCCCAGAATAGTAGAGTTAGTAACATTATCAAGAAAATATAAATTAACGAAATAAAAAGAGCAAAAAAATATGGGGAATTAAGAATCCCAAGATTTGGGGGAAGACAAAGGATGAATGCACCTGCGCCATTGTAAACGATTTCGAGCTATATCATCTAAAGTCTTTAATCATTGTAAGCGTATATACAGAGACTTTTTATTCACAGTTAGGCATTCTCTATGCTCTCTTTTATTGGCTATGTTTTTATTTATGAAGTTCTCGGGATATCCATTTCTCAGGGTTGAGTATAATGCCTTTGTTTCATCTAGAGAGTACATGGTATTGATTCTATGATACAGTGTCTTAATAAGCTTCCTTTTGTATTGCAGAGGAACAAAACTAAAAAAAGCTTGGACCAGATTGCCAGGCGAAACTTCGGATTTACTTCAAATTCTTTCGCTGAGATTTTACAAATACATTCTTCCTCTTTAAAACTAAGAAAGTTTGCATATTGGCCCGTCCAAGTAGTTTTCTTGTTTATGTTTCTTCTTAGTGAACCGTCTTTTTTCCTTGTATGTAGAACATCTAGAAAGGCTATTCTACCCCCCCCCTCATCTTAATTCTCACATGTGAATTTTATGGACAGGTGAACTGTATTGAAACGCTCGAGTGTTTCTATGAAGTTCGTATGGTTGTTACAAAGGATAAATGTATCATCCATATATCGGCATTAAAATGAAAAAATTGTCGATTTCTTGTGCCGGTGGATCGTTTTCTAGTTTAGAGAGGAACATGTCAGCCAATATCCTCAATTAATTGAATAATAAACCAACTTAGACAACTGTTTCTACCAATTACATAACTTAGTGAAGATTTGAATACTTCATCAATTTCATTACAGAAAGAAACATAAACATGCTAATTTCTAATACAACTTTGATCTACTGACTTTATCAATGTTATCTCAAGTTTAAATGATGATGATGATGATGATGATAATGATATACGACTCCTGAACGATACGATCGATCATTTAGGAATCCATACTGTTAAGGATGCTGAGGAATATACCAATCATTATCATGTTAAGTCTAATGATGTCCTTGGACTCTAAATGGGCATTTCCTATTGGCCATTATTTATTTCACTCGTTAAATATCGTACAAATGTTGTTTTCTATTTTTATGGTACGATGTGGTCTGTTTGGTTGGTATATAAACAGAGTATGTTTGAAATATAACGATTCATATTTCAGAGGCTGGGCTAGACAGGGAAACAGGACTAATCTGAACTCTGGGTCGTCCTTACGTGTTTTACGTGTCACTGGATCGATCGATAATACGCTGCGCATCTAACCTGCAGTCCACACGTTACAACACATACTAATATGACATTGGAAATCAGTATTCGTAATTATTACCATGAAGTTTATAAACTATAAACACAATTAACATAATACGTTATAAGCTTGTCAAACATCATATGTACATGCATTTATAGTAACGTAGAAAAAAATAACTTTGAAAAAAGTGTTTATCTGTGTGCCAGAAAGAAAGAAAATCAAATAAACAAGCACAAAAATACGACAAACTAATCATGTTTCAACAAGCAATTAGTTTTTATTGTATATCATCAACTAACATCGCGGATAAGTAAAAAGAAATAAGTAGTATGTTGGCAGATGCAGACTACGTGGTTCAGGTCCGCGTGACTATCGTAACCAATGGTTGGAAACTCTTAGTGTTATGGCTCAGAATCAATCAAAATGGCGTAGATGTATATACTCTCTGTCTTCTCTTAAACTATGAGATTAAAATCGCTGCGTTTTAATGACTGAACGAAACTGATCTTATTTGTGTTCTCACTTGAAGCGCATTTTAAAGGCGAACCATTTGCATATTACCCGAGACACCATCATATGTACAATAACATCAAAAACTGTATCTGCGGAAAAAATATTCACGAAGAACAACAACCATGATATCCAAAACTCGTCTCATGATACATTTTTCATTTAAAATTATATAGAATAATATACACAAACTCACCTCCAGAAATTCGACAATGTACTTTCCTAAATAAAAAAAAACGGGGGAATGATAAATAAAACTCATATTCATACTTAAAACATTTTTCCACTTCATAAACACTTAATTCAGAATCAGTGATGAAAATGTAATCGGATAGGAAATCGATAATCAGCCAACATTGTTAAGCTTTAAACAATACAAACTAATCGGTCATTGAGTAGAGACCAATGTTATGCGGCTGAATGTATCCACATCGAGAGCCTGTTTGTCAAAAAGGTACCAAGGGAATAAATCACCTAACTTTATTCTACATTTATAAGGACTAAACCTTAAAGGTCAAAGGCTCAGAGGATGAACATTCAAGAAATATATCTCCTTTGTATTAGGCACCTAATCAGTATTACATCTTTCACGTATGGGCAATGATCAGTGCTGAAATACATCTGTCAATGAACAGCATGACGAAAAAGCGAACACAAACTATGATTGATGTCAGAATAGCCGAATCACTTATTTATGAAATGGAGTTCATTATAAAGTTACCAATATTTATTCATTTTTACACGCCAATTTTCTTTTTCAACCGTGGACTAAATAGAACTATTTGTTTGAAAATATCAAATGAAACTGTGAGAAGTCTATTTGATGGGAGTTAATTAATTTATCTAATATATGGCTTTAAGGTACAATTTAGTTACATGAGAGCTAGTGATACTATGCGACTGCCCAAAGCTAAATACATGAAATGTGGAGTTTAAAATTGGGATTTAATGGTTAGAAGGATGATGAGTACTCTAACCAATAAACCATTGATAGATCCAAATATCTTCTCATCAAAAAAACAATGAGAAACAATCGTTTATGTTGTTAAGTTTACATACACTTAGTAACTTACGGCATTTTCCAATGATAGACTACAACGTGTAGTACTAGGTTCTTTGCTATAAACTAACTCTGTTGGTGGAGTGTAAAATTCAGTTAGACAATCAGGCAATGGTTTATTTGCTTGAACTGAAATACAATCTTCCATCTCTTTCGATATTGTACGATTTGACACAATGGTTTCATAAGAATGATTTGAGTCAGAGTCATCGGAATAGGTTTTAAACATACCTGAAAGAGAAAAAAAACACAAGACATGATTTTTAAAAAGATCCGGTCAACTACAGTATTAATTTGACAAAATTTACTCTCAATCAGGTTGCTTCAAAGGTCTTAACTGTAAAATATGAATAGCAAATCATGGAAAGAATTTTATCTCGTTAGAGCCCCCCTTCGATTCACGCAAATGGATTGTATCTTACAACATCAAAAACATATACACATACACATAGAGGGTGTGGCACAAGGCTAATTTTATTAAACTCTGTACTTGGAAAATGAATTGCATTAAATCTATCATATGGCATCATTCCACATAACGAAAGTCACGTAGTAAACACGACAGAAAAAACGCGTATGACATAGAAAACGATGAATAGTTGTTTTCTAACAATATTTTTCCACAATAGAATTATCATTTTATGTTTTTCATTTGCTTATATGATTGAAAAAAATGAATTCCGTAGATATAGGAGTACTATAAGGCAGACAGTCAAAACGTCAGGACATAACTGCGATTATTATTTTCGTTAGTAGAACGTCTATGCCGAAATCAAATAGAAATGGAAGAAGTGAACATCCCTTAAGAAAGAGAAAGATATTATCAAGAGAGAAACAGATCACAAACAGGTAATAAGAATGACTAGCGAGAGTTTTACGCGTAAGCTCATTTTTCAATCAGCGGTTTCCTCACGTGCCAGAAATCATTGGAAAACGATTATGATTCAATATCAGTGATTTGTAGATACTTTTCATTTTCAAAATTCGTGTCTCAAATCTGTAGCATTGGATAAAACGATCCGTACTGTGTACTCTATAATTCAAATCAAGATATGAGCATCTAACACGTGCTATGTTCTAGGTAGGTAGCTATATACCTAACAAATACATTGGTATTTGGGTTCACTAGCTTACTAAACTCTCCATAAATTATAGGTTAAACCTACTGTTTAAAGAGGTAGACTCACACTGTAACTATAAATTGTGATTTAAATCCGTGCATAAACCTTAGTACCTCAATAGTAATTTAAAGGTCCACACAACACAAACTAAAAACAGATATCACTGAAGAGATTAACGATAAATAAACAAGAAACATTCTAATCCATTTACATTAAAACTTTCAGAGCCAATTTTAGCGACCAATATTAGTACTTCTTACAAACTAACAAAGTCAATAAAATCTATTTTCTAAAGTACTTACTTTGGTTATTTATTCTTTGAAGAAGTGGCCTACACTAAGTCAGAAAATCTATTTTTTCTACTCATCGGGATATCTACAAATATATTGATTTATTTGTAACAATCTAACCAATGCTCAATTTATTCGAAATTATCAAATCAAACCTTGGTAATGATACTGTGGTGTGTGTTACTTATATTGACATAAGTAGTATATGATGATAGTCGTGAATAGAAGTTCTGGCAGCAGAGAAACAAGGAGATCGAACAGTAAAGAATAGAAACAAGATGCAATTTGTATGAACATGCAAGAACAATGAAGTCTGAGTCATTTTGAGACAATTGGTGGACATTTTTCAAATTAAGCATTTATTTTATGATTGTTAGATGTTATTAACAAGTCCTGTAATTTTGTGTTAAATACATTCGATTGTCCCCACCGGTGTTCTTGTTCACTACAATACCTAAAAAAAATACTTACTAGTTTATTTCTAAGCAGATTGTGACAACGTTCTATTGTTATTTAACGTATTTATTCAATTTATAATCTGTATATTGACACAAAGTTAAGCAATTCTAAACCGTCTTAGTACTTTAACTGCAGTTATCATCTGAATATCAACAAGCCGGTCTGTGTATCTATAAACAATGTTCAGTAACTTCAATAACTTCAGACACTATCAGACATAGGTCAAAATAGAAGATCATGGAGATTCCAATGTACTTTATATTAACATTTTTCATATAAGTGAAAGCAACTTGGTTCACTGAAAGAAGTTGATATAACGGGATAATATAATTACAGGATTTAGGTCAACATTTTAAGTATCAACTCATTATGAACTTCAGCAAGGATAATACATGTAAACTTTGTTCAGCATGAAGTTTTAAGGTCGATTTAGTACAAATTTCATTTAGTAAACCACAAGTGTGGACTTTCGTTTAGCTTGACATATTCCCTGTAACGATTCGGGTGAACTAAATTTAGTGTGTTTTGTACAGTAGCTCTATGTATTTTCTAAATGAGATATTATTGAATGTAAGAGTGAGTACATAAATGATCATATTTTGGTCTAATAACGATATGATATACGGAATTTTTGGGGACGTATTTTTTGACAGACAACATACCTTCACTGCACAAATTTCGTATTCTCACTTAGTGTCGTGGCAAATCGAAGTGATTCTTGTTTCAAAGTGTAAGCAGTACAACCCAGGAATTGAAATGGTTCCCGATTGTCCAATATAAGCAGTAAGATTGCAGACTCAACAGAGTTTATATGTACATAACAGCGACGACACACCAGATAAAATAAATCCCTTCTAGGTTATACTTTTAACTGAACTCTATTCTCTTATCGTATACCATTCATGCTCACTTATTTTTCTCGTTGTTGGCACTCTACTTCCCTTTTTTATAACTTCACAAAGCTATCTCTTTATTTTTATAGCCTATACATTGTTTGGTGATTAGTAGTTACATCAGAATTAAATAAAGCATAAACTAGATATTTTGAAATTTACTGAAGAAGCATAATATTAAAAATGTCAAAAACAATATACTAACCAATAAAATCATTGGTTTGAGCATCATTCGATAAATTATTCGTATCATTATTTATGCTATCTGTATCAATCTCTGTACTTATATCACCAGAACATCGTCTATTTATGATACGTTTTGCTAATTCAAAAGCTTGAAATAACATTAACTGGTTGGAATTTGATAAGGATAGCTTGAGCTTGGGAGATGATTGATTTGATATGGGTGTATTAGTAGCTGTAACAGTGGCATAATCGATTAATTTGTCACAACAATCAAAATAGACTGGTTTTAACTGATTTTTATACCAGTATAACTTATCACCAATTAATTCTGTGGAATAAACTCCTGAACAGATACGTTGATAGGCTTCATTCAATGCACAAATTGAAGATTCAGCAAAATATTCAACAGCCTAGAATAATATATGAAAAAGGATGGACAATTTAGATGAAGTTAGATGCGAACTATTACTTGATACCAATTTTCTAGGCTTGAAAAGGTAATACGTTTATCACGAGACTTGTAAGAGATACCCCTAAGGGGTCGTTGGTGAGTACCATCAAGTTCTATGCTAATTTGGACATCCGGATCTCAGGCGGTAGATTTCAGGTTCGAACTCCGACCTGCCTGTTTCGATTACAGTAACCGAGTAATACCAGTACTCCTTACACTTTGAGTGTCGTTCATAAACAATTATCAGGTAAATGAGTTACTTATTAAACATTACTATGTTAAAAAGAAATAGTTATTTAATTATCAGTAATTTTATACGGTTCCCAAGTCGAAATCAGTCTATTAAATGATAGTTGTATCTTTTAGAAGGTGAATAAAATATGCTTCCGTCATTAGTTTCAGCTTCTTCTTTGAGTCGCGCGGATTTCATTGTGTTTTTGTAACAAGTATCAGTTCTCTAGGGTTATAACAACAATATATCCTTCAAAACTGGACAAACTCTATAAACCTTCCATCTTAATAAAAATATGAGATTAAATGATAAAATGACATCGATAGATTACGTCGTGAAGAGTTGGAAATAATGTATCAAACAACAAGCAACTACGTAAAACTGAATCAAGTCAGAATAAATGGTGTGTTGTTAAAAGCACCAAAATGTACGCAACGTTTAACAATCGGCTTCTAGTCAATTAGATCATACACTCACCTATTTCGGTTTCGGTTACCGAATAGTATTATAATGAATGAATACTCTGGCGGGGACAACCAATTTGCTATTTGATACAAAATTACAGGATCTCTTGGTAAAATATGAGAACGATATATTGAGCGTTTCACTTGCAAACTTCCATCATTTGTACTTTACATTCTGTATGATTCTTCCAATTCACAATTCCTTTCTATTTCTGTTTATGTTTTCTTCAAGTCGACTATCATAGCCTTATGCTTCCAGGGTTTCCACTTCCTATTGGTGTTACATACTGCTTATGTCGATAGACAGTGTAGCGAGTCATGTTACGAGGAGGGTAAGATACAAAGGATCTGAAACAACAAACGGAGTCACTTAAGTAAAAACATATTGGCGAAAGCTTTTATAGTTTGATCGACTGATTGTGCATGCTCAAGTCTTTGAAACATGGTCTATGTCATAAATATACGGAGCGATAGTATGATGTATGAAACAGTTACATAACTGCCGTTTAAATACATTCAGAAAAATAAATATATGCATATAGATTTGTATAATGGTACATACCTGAGTTTTCGCAAGCATGCTAGTAAACAAACATGGCTTTGGACGAGACTTCATAAAACTTTCATACTGAAATGCAACGACTGGCCGAGGAAATAATCGTAAAGTACGTATATGATTAGTAAATCCACCCAGAATGTTGTTTGTATTGAAGAAGAGAATCTATAAAACAGAGGGAAACAGTGAATAATGATATTAGTCAATCAATTAGTTTCACAGATTGAAATCATGAGTCAGTTGAAGCTAGACCACCATGGAAAACCTGGAAGCACTGGACGGCCGTTTCGTCCTAGTATGGGACTCCTCAGCAGTGCGCACCCACGATTCGAACCCAGGACCTACTGGTGAAATTTCTAAAATCTCCACAAACCCCTTCTGATAATAATCATCTGCTCACTGGTGACTGACTTCAAGAGATACTCCTGGAGTTCTAGTTAGGAGGCCGTTACCAGTGGAGTTCAACCAGGTCTGTTGTGAGATATCAGCTCACTGAAGACAATGGTATACGGTGGCGCAACTTCGTGGATTAGTCGAAGTTAGACATGAACACCGTTGGATGCCAGCTCAGTGGTTTAGTGGTTGAGTGCTCGCGTGCGAAGCCAGTGGGTCCCGGGTTCGAGCCCCGCGTGGTGCGGGATCGTGGATGCGCACTGCAGGGGGACGGCTGTCCAGTGCTTCCAGGTTTTCCATGGTGGTCTAGCTTTAGCTGACTCATGATTTCAATCTGTGAAATTTCTAAAATCTCCACAAACCCCTTCTGATAATAATCAATTAATTGTCTACAAAACAGAATCTATTAAGAAATTTGTACAACAAGGCTTATTTGTTATGATTCATGAAAAAAAGGAAAAGATGAGATCAACAAAATTAAATTAAAAAGAGGTCGATCTAACGATATTAATTTGTCATAAGTCAGTCAGGCTATAATCAAAGCAGATCACTATAAGATAAATATACGTCAACCTAAATTCATATAATTATGCCATCAAAATGATATGAAAGAGTCGAAATAACTATAATAGGTATGATAGGCAAACTATGTATTGATATTATGGTTCGAGAAAGAATGAAAAAGTATTTATTTATTTAAACACATAAACATTGGTACAAGGAAGCACCAACTATATATGTACTTCGTAAATCATTTGATTTGTGTGAGGGCTGGATTATTGCTCGGGTGCCCAAACCGAAGTAGGTGATTTTCTTGGAGGACCACTCCCCGAGCCTTTGACCCGAAGGAATAATCCACAAGACGGTGGAGCAACGTAAAGAGATGCAGTCCCGTGGTAACCGGCGGCCAACAATTGGTTCATACGCTTTTTGTTCCTCCAGGACACTGGAGTCCATGTGCACCATTGGTTTGGAATCAAGGTTTTCCAATACCCCTCTGTGGATTCTCCATATCCACCGACACAGTTAAAGTGCCGGACATTCGCTTTTTGTCCTCTCAGTTTCTTAAACAACACCCCCGCTGCGAGAAAGAAGTGAGTAGGACTTCCCTGTCAGTGTCCGTAAACGTGTGGTCATGTGAGAGTATTTCGAGAGGGAGAGCTGACTCTCCCCCCTCGACCATATCAAGGCACCATATCTACACCTATCAACATCCCTTAGATTAACTATCAGTAATTTCATAGACTGGCTCAACATTTCGGTTTCAATCTACTCCTACCACAGTCTACAATAGCATTATCATTTAAGCTGTATTAGACCAGTAATTTTTGTATTCAAAAGCTTAATAATGACTTCTTAGCTGCTTCCTAAATCCTCAGAGTTTCCCTATATTGCAGCCCCCAAAAGTGGATGAAAAGTTCGAAGTAAGAACAGATGCTTTACTTCACAGTTTTCTTATATTCAGAAAATCAAGAGTATTTAAAGGTTTATGTATAACCATGATCCTGTAGAAACTTTTGGAAGCATGTAGAACATAATAACGAAAGTAACTATTTAATCAGAGTATGGTACATGACCCATTAATTTTGGGAAATTGAAAATGGATGCATATTGGACCAAGTGTTTTCACCCTTTTCCTGAATATTGAAGAATTTATCGAGGAAGTTATCGGGGGATGCCAAAAAAGATCTTTACAAAGCCATACTAATGGAAAATCTACACATATTATTATCATTATTATCGTTAGTGTTATTACCAGTTCCGCTTACCATAGATACACGTATACCGACATCAACAGAATCTTTTGTCAGTGTATACAATAAAGGATCAAATTTCGATAACTCAAATGCAGTTGTACGTGCTACAGAAACAGGCCAATGTTTCGAAGAATCATCCAAATCCAAATCAATATGAGGTGAACTTGAAAATTCGTGAAGTAACTGATAAGTCCATTGTAAAAAAAAAAGAATTTGAAGATAAGATCACAATATGAATAGTTGCAAACTTGCAATCAAATTTACATATAAGACAGTTTTAGTGAGAAGTAATACACATGAGTTTCGTTTAATTCACAACTCGTTAACTGTTCGTAACTGTACCTGATTGCTGATATTCCAACTGAGAGATAAATCGATTCGATACAAAATATCAACAACGGAAAAAATACAAATTCTTAAATTAATATTGTACAATGAATTGACGTTTTTCATTCCAGTTTTCTAACTAGTCAAGAATATTTGTATGAAGTCAGTTAGGAAATCGACAGCTTCTGCAGTAAAACTGACACACACACACACTCTTTTTTCCCAAGAATTCAGTCAACATTGTATCTGTTGAAGCAGATAAATGATGATCTTCAATTTAATTTTTGTGTAATTTAGTGTATTTCCGCAATAAGGTTATTAATAACTTACTCTTTATTAGTTATGTATCAATATCTTCAGAACTACTCATCAATACATCTACAGTGCTCTCTGATTAATCAAGAATTGAATTTTGTGTACACACAACAGAAACATCAAAAAACAACCTAACAAAACAGTTCACAAACTAGAACAAAAGTAACAATAATGATAAATATTGTTACATCTAGTACATTAAAACGTTTGAGATGCGCACTTCCTAACAGGCTTTTAAGCTCATATAAACTTTCGATGCTTTAACTCAGAGCAAAAGCAGAAGGCAGATATATAACAGGAGGTTTACTATCTCTAATGTGAATTCAGTGAAGAAAAATCAAAAGTTATCGATGTCTCTTACCAGTAACTTTGATGTGATATATGCTCCCGGAGAAAAAGTGAAATCGATTATAATTATAAGCGCTTGATCAATCAGGTTAGGGAAGAACATAAATGTATCAGCTTCCAGCTTTAACTGGAGATTAAAAGTGATTTGAGTCTTTAGCCTATTACGAATAATAGTTTTATTCAATTCTGATCCCAAACTTTGAACATTAGTGAGAAGACTACATAAAAGAGGGTCGAATAACAGATCACACAGACGTATTACGTTTTTTTTTCGAAAAAGCTAAGAAAATTAGTCAGTCGTAATACATGTTGACTGTAATCCTTGATGGCTAAAAAAGGAAACAAACTATTGACTGAAAACCTATTATAGTTGAAATAACACTTTTATCAGATTGTCACTAAAAACTGTTTACACACAGAAAATAAATACATTCACCGTAAAAGAATAAAAAAAAATCTAATGCACGTACTTTTAATGGTTGAGATCATGAGTCAATTGAAGCTAGAACACCATGGAAAACCTAGAAGCACTTAGCGGCCGTTTCGTCCTATTTTGAGACTCCTCAGTAGCGCACATCCACGATCCCGCCTCGTGAGATTCGAACCCAGGACTTATCAGTCTCGCGCGTGAGCACTTAAACACTAGGCCACTGAGCCAGCATCCATGTTTTCCATGGTGGTCTAGCTTCAATTAACTCATGATTTCAAACATTAAAATTACTATAATATGCACGTACTTTTTTTAAATGATTAATAAGAATGTTACTTTCTATTTCAGGTAACTCTGGTATTTCATCAACCACCATAGGATAAGATAACTGAAATGGAGTATAAACAAAAACAACATGTTGACAATTCTCATTAACCATAATGACTGAAGTTTGTAAACTATTTTATCATCAACTGGTTTAATAATAAAATTCAATTAATCATGTACATTTCAAGAGTTATAAATAATACTTCACATTAACAATAAAATTCAGAATAGGTATTTGAACCTATGTATTATTCATTAAGAAGATCTGAATGAATCTCTTTGCGTATGCTGATGGGGCAGTCGGTATGCCAAACCACCGTGCAATGTTTTATGTGGTAGGAGTAGGTTGGAAGAAAGCTGGGGGCGGCCAGACGAAAACATGGCATAAATCCATGAAGTCACTGACAAGTGGACTAAACCATGTTGGTAGGTGTAAACTACCTGATTGGGATCTGCGAGACGATAGCAACCGATGGTGAGATACCTTGAGTGACATGGCTCAAAATCGTTTGCAATGGCGCAGGTTCATTCATTCTTTGTGTTCTCCCAAATTCTAATCTTCTAAATTCTTCATGTCCCTTTCTTTTCTCTTTCCAAATTTGTTTCACTTTATTATACTCTTTGAATAATATCTTCAAACCCTAATCCTTCCGATTACTGCTTATATTCTTACAACCTCTACCACTAAGGGATTTCAATCAACAACTGCATCCCTGTGCTAATGTGGTATGGCAACTCGAACCGATGTAAGTACGTACCAGGTTCTACGTTGTTACTGACTGACTGATTGATTGTGCCCTCAAATGGGCTGGTACGGCCGAGAGAGAGTTCGCTCTCCCTCTCAAAATGCTCTCGCATTGCCACGCGTATATGGCCTCTGTCAAGGAAGTCCTACTCACTGTCTTCTCGTGGCCAGGGTGTTGTTTACGAACTTGAGAAGATGAAAAGTGAATGTTCGGCGCTTTAACCGGGTTGGTGGACATGGAGAATCCACCTAAGGGAGTTGGAAAACCCTGATTCGAAACCAATGGTGCACATGGGCTCCAATATCCTGAAGGAACAAATGGCGTATGGACCAATTGTCGGTCGCCGGTTACCATGGTACTGCATCTCCCTGCGATGCTCCACCGTATTTTGAATTATTCCTTCGGGTCAACGGCTTGGGGAGTGGCTCTCTAAGAAAACCACCTACTTCGGTTCGGGTACAGGACAGTATCGCAGCCCTCACATATATCAAATGAGATTTGTGTGGAGCATATGTAATTGGTGTCTCCTTGTACCAATATCTATGTGTTAAAATAAATAAATAAATAAAAATATATAAGACTGACTGATTTTAGTTCATTCATTCAATAAAGCAATTTTCATTAGATCTAGCCTTAATACTATTTAACAAAGAGGTATTCAGATAATCTAGTTTTATCAACTACTTAGTAGTACCAAATTTATGTCAAATATATGAAAAACTATTTCATTTGATACAGCTATTATAATGAATCCTTATTCATGTTTCATAAATTTGATATTTGATTAATTCTCTGAAGGATCTTACACCAGACTCCCGAGCGGAAGGCCGAAGTTATCGTTAATTTTAATTGATGAAATTCCAACAGTTGGCATGTTCTTTACTAATGTATTCCGTAAACCCAGAACTCAACTATAGTGGAACTATTCATTCGGTGACAAGGCCAGGGACTTGGGAAGCTTAAAAGCTGAAAAACAGCGACAAAGTATTAGCTTCCCGATGATTAACCTTAATGTGGTTTTTAAGGCTTTGAAAACCACAGATAGTAAACTGTAAAACTGAACTGAAAGAACATTGGGTTCGAGTCCCAGCTCCAACATCAATACTATGGGGGAGCAAGTATATTCGGCTGATGAACCCCAGATAGGAGAAAATCCACATCTTTGATTACACCACTAGCTACAAACCGCCTACCCTACCATAAGACCAAATAATAGGAATTTTATGTGTGACTGAAACGAACCAGTCACTGTTTTTTCAGAAAAACGAAACCACATGAAACTGAATGGATCCAAGATATATATAATCAAAAACGTTTTCATTACAGTTAGTGAAAGATTTCGAAATAACGTTGAGTATTATTATCAAGCACCCAGTTGGAATGTAAGCATTCCAATCCCATTGATATATTGTGCAATCGCCTTCCAATATACTTGGTAGGTAATTGCCTAAAACTCAACATGACTAAATTCCACTGGTCACCGGTTCCAACTAAAACTACGAGATCACCTCCTGATCCTAGTCACTAATAAGGATGTAATTGAAGTCAAAAGTGTAAGCCACCGGGCCGCTACCCAGTGGTCTCAAGAAATTTTTTCTTATTTGACAAGTGGACAACAATAAATTAAAAGAAACATTTTTTCAAGCATAAAAGACATCGAAGACTAAAGGTTTAACCGGTTAGTATCAGAAGGGGTTTTCTGGAGATTTTAGTAATTTCAGTAGTTGAGATCATGAGTCAATTGAAACTAGAACACCATGGAAAACCTGGAAGCACTGGACGGCCGTCTCGTCCTATTGAGGGACTCCTCAGCAGTACACATCCACGATCCCACCTCGCGAGATTCCAACCCAGGACCTATCAGTCTCGCGCGCGAGCACTTAACCACCAGACCACTCATCCGGCATCCAACGGTGTTAATGTCTAACTTCAACTAATCTACGAAATTGAGCAACACATCCACCATTGTCATCAGTGAGTTACTATCTCACAACTGGCCGCGTTGAACTCCACTGGTCACTGCTTCTCACTAAGACTTCAGGATATACATCTTGAAGCCAGTCACTAGTGAGCATATATTAATTAGTATCAGTAGGTCCTGGGTTCGGATCCCGCGAGGCGGGGTCGTGGATGCGCATTGCCGAGGAGTTCCACAATAGGACGAAACGGCCATCCAGTGCATCCAGGTTCAACCGGTTTTAGACTAATTCCAAGTCCTTGTTGTTACCATTAATTAACGCGAATAATAAAAAATTTTATTCGACGGTTAATCATTGCAAACTGAACACTAAAAACTAATTACAGGATCAGAGAGAAAATCAAATTAGTAATAGACACTGAGCCCCTCTTACATAAATTTAACAAGAAAACCAAAAGAAAATAAATGTGGAGATACAATTTTCTCCCAAATAACAATCCAAAAACAAAACAAAAAAGATTAAATTGAATTAAACATACTTCACGAGTATCCAAATCAGCTAACCAAACATCTTTAGGCATACGAAAAATTTTCCGTGCAGTATAAAATGCTGTCGGAACACCAATTAAATAGGGTGTAGGCGCTAACAAAAGCTAGATTATTTTCACATTGAAGAAGAAAACAGATGAGAAATAAGGGAAAAAATGATTAATTAACTGAAATATATCTAGATAAGTGATAAATACCTTTTAATATAGGAATAGGTAATCATTAAGTAAAAGGTAATTCAGCACGATAGTTCAAACACATTACAAACTATCAAATTATCTCAAACTGATTGAAGTTGGAATCATATATGTTGGACGCTAACTCATCAGTTCCAATGATTAACCTGAAAGTCTTGACTCAATCTCGGGTAGAGTCGTAGGTGAGCACAAGTAATCACAAGTTTTAATAGTAACCCCTAATTAAATCATGTGGTTTCAAAAGCGGTTTAATCTAATTGTTTAAGTAACCTATTGAGATTATTTCTGGTTCTGACAAAAAAATAAGTAGACAAACTATCATTCAGTTATTGAGTTTAGAATTTAGTTTTCTATAAAATCTGAAGGTACAGCTGATAAACGTACGATTATGGATTAGTTTACTATGAAAATCTTTTACTATAACACTCAATTGTGTTCAGATGATTTAAATGATCAATTATTTCAATAAGATAATCGAGTTCCCTCCGACAATTTCTGTTATACATCCATTCAGCATGATATTTTATCAGTGAGTTATTCACTTAGGTTCTGATTATTTGAATTAAAATAATAATTACTGCGAAGAAACTATGTACGTAAGTGGTATTTTTATCCAATGTACATTCTTCATAGTTGTAGGGTAGGCTTTCTATTCTTAATAGTTGAAAGAAGGTCAAGAGTTTTTCAGGCATAGTACTGAACAGTGACTTTGTTGCACCCACTCAGAACAATTATTCTTGTTTTCACTAACTTCTGTCTATTATCAAGCTGGTATTTCTGAGCTGTGTGGAGAAGATTCAGGTTACAATAATGGTCAGAAAAATGGGATTTCGACACAAGGAAGGAAAAAATCCAGTTTATGACAATAGCTATCACGTAACACGACATTCCAATGTTAAATATCTTGAGGTGATTGATAACTACGGAAGCCGAGAACATTGTTAGAAATCACTCTTGTTTATCACTTTCCAACCCGTGTGACGTAACACTTGAAGGTTAAGCGCTTCAATCACTCAATATCATCATCTAATTTCTTTAAAACTCATTTAGAATCAAGATATAGATTGCTTAAAGTGAATCACCTAGGAATGACACTATTAATATTATCCAGCCAAGTGATGTGTACCGAATACCAATTACAAATGCATAATGTATTGCTTGTTATTTTAGACTTGAAACTGCCTTAAGATGCTGGATGGCATTCTGAATAGAGGTGGAGATTGGAGATGGTATGCACGGGTCAGTAGGATAACTGACATGTCTTCACAATTTTTTTCCGAAATCCCCGTCGCCACTGATGTTTTGTTGTTTGAATCCTACTTTTTATATATAGTCGTCGTTGATCATTGTGTCGGAAAGGCTTATCACTTAAACTCGAAACGAGGGACCTCTGCAATTCCTACGACACGAAAGTAAGAACACAAAGACTGGTATAAGTGAAGATTTATTAACCCTAAAACACGATGATGATGATGATGATGACGATGACCCCGGTCAAAAATACACTCATTTATATATTGATTCGTAGACCCATTTTGTTTAATAATTAAGATGAAATGACATACATAAAAAATACTCAGTTATAACAAATCGTATGCTAAGCGTAATTCATGTCAATTTTTAATACAAGAATATCGTATGTTATACAGAATAAAATATCATATGAGGTAACAGTAACAAATGCTACATTGAGTAATCATCATATTGAATCAAAACAGAAGTAATGTTCAACAAAACTCATAATGAGTGAATCAATCGAATTTTGACTTTTCTTCCTGTCACCTCCTCTTCTTTTTCCTGAAGACTCGATGTTTAGATCATGACTTAATCCTTCCTCCCCCCACGAAATTATGTTGAGTCCTCATATTCCTAAGTTACAATTAGTGTGACTCTTTTTAAAACATATTATCCGCATTGAATAGAGAGTCCACTAGAACTGACTAGATGTTGGGGATCAACGACACTTGATATGAGGTCATTAAAGTTTGATTCTTCTGAAACATTTCCGTCAAATTTCTTGAAAATCACATTAGTAGATAAGTGATCACTTGGATAATCAACATCTATCAAAAGTTCATTAGGTTCTTTAACATCATTTGATACATCCGACATATTTTTCTCACTTTTGTAAGAAATTTGATCAAAAATATGTGTCATTAAGATAACTCATATCTGGTAAAACAACTAGAGAACCTTGATGAGTAGATTCATCAGGAACTTTTGTCCTGGCATGATGAGCTCCAATTGATGCAACTGTCTTCATTATACTGCTTAGTTCATTTTCTGTTTCTTCGTGGGCGGGTACTGCAACAATTTCATGTGCATTTAACAAGACATCGACCTTCTGTGAGCTGGACAAGTCAGTGTTTGTATATTGTGTTTTAGGGACAATGGGATTTGAACCCATAACAGGGCATGTATCTGAAATGGACGTTTCTGGACCACTGGGCGGATCATGAATGACCGCTACTGCTTCGTTTACATTACTGCTTGTCAAGGATTCATAGAGGCTTTCAGCGACACATTCATACGTTCTGCAATCATTTTCCAGCTCTGTACGCAATTTAGAAATTAGTTCATTAACTCCCGTCACATCTATAAAGCATGGATGATTCAGCGACCATATGTGTAATTTGTCTATAAATTCCAACTGATTCCTTTTAAAATGCTGCTGCTGTCTCTGAAACAGAAACCTCAATTGATCGGAAAGGAGAGCTATTTCTGTTTCTGTATGAATCAGCACGGTAATGAAAAATACTGTATGGCAAATTAACAATCAATGTCGTTCAAAAATACCGATGGCAATTCTGTATACTGATTGTCTGAAATAATTACACTGATTTTCGTCCAATTACTGGCTGACCTTGCTCATTTTTTCAATCCGCGTCCCCACTGATATGTCTTGGTTCTTTTTTTCACAACAATAATAATAGGAGTAAATTACAATAAAATAAGTCAAAGGATTAAATGTAATTACATATCACTTCCATACTGCTGTGAATGGGTACACAATGAATACATTTTAGTCTTCTTACATTTCTTAAAGTATTTGAATAGGAGACTAAGCATAGTCGTGTCACTCAAGGACAATCTGAGAGATCTTTAGTTGTTCAGGGGTTTGTTTGAACCTTAAAGTCCTACAAAAGGTATGGTAAACCAATTTATTGTTTTATGCAAAATTATACAGTACATTTGTAAAATATAAAAATTGAATACATCATTTGCATATCTTCCTTAGGTTGTCCATTATATACTCCATCATTCTTTCAATCCTATTGTTGTTCCAATCGCTCTCTGTATTCCTGCCTCTTCTCTTCATTTCGATCTTCTGCAAGTAAACATTTCACTTCCAATTATCACCATGTCTGTCCGTATAAGTAATGCACACCACAATATGATTTCAATATGCCTCTATAATATGGTTTGTTTTTTGATTACATAGTTTACATTCCATTGTACTAACTCAGTAAAATCTATCTATTATCTTTATCGAAATATTTAATTAAGTTCTTTGAAAGTATTGATCACCTTCTACTTAACCAATTATACATCTCTCTCTCTCTATCTCACTCAATATGTTGACATGAAATGTAGAACAACTTGGGCTGATACACATTCTTACCAGACTTTGTGTTCTTTATAGTTTAAGAGAATATCATTGGGACTATGCACCGAATAGGAACTTTTAATTGAATAATAATAATAATAAATTTTAATCAAAATACCACTTCAATCCAATACACACTAACCTGTTCTGCATCAGGCATACATGCAGGTAGAAGAGGAATAACTGGGAACATATATTGAAGTGGATAGAGTAATGCAACCAATGATAAAATTGTTAAGGATAACTTATTATAATCAGATGATTGTAAAACCACCTAGATAACAAAAGAAGACAAAATATATTAGAACATATAATGGTTAAGTGAAAATATGAACTAATGTATAAGATAATATAGATTAATTATACAATGATTCTATACACAAAGATAAAAAAAAATCCAAGATGAAAGAAAACATTTAGATTTTAGCAGTAAAAATGATAGTCATATAGCTATAAACAAACAAACTATCAACTATTAGTAATGTAGAATATAGACGTTTTCAAAACTACTTATTAAGCGAGTGTACTTTCATGTCATACATTGAAAAACGAAGTGTTTACAGCTTAAAATACATGAGTTCTATGCATGAATTTATTGAATTACGACAGTAACTATTTATTTGTATTCAAGTTTCTACCTTATCATTTGGCAGAAATGAACTGACTAGTCTAAGTAAGCGGATGTCCGGCACTTTAACCTGGTTAGTGGATATGGAGGATTTACAGAGGAGAGTTGGAAAACCCTGATTTTAAACCAATGGTGTCCATGGGCTCCAGGATCATAAGGAACTAAGTGGCGTATGAGCCTATTGTTGGTCACTGGTTGCCATGGGACTGCATCTTGTGACGTAGCTCAACTACCTTGTGGATCAGACCTATAGGTCAATGGCTCGGAGTGTTGCCCTACTTCAGTTTGAGCACCCAGGCAGTATCCCAGCCCTCACAAAAATCGGATGGTTTATGTGGTGCATATATGTTTGGTGCCTCCTTGTACCAATGTTTATATGTTTAAAAAATAAATAATAAAAACGTATGAATGAGTTTATCGTAGTTGTCAGTCAGCTACAACGTAGGACCAGACACATATATGCATCAATCCAATTTGCCATACCTCATTAACACAACAAGATGAACACCAAATTCATAGAAGTAGTTCAGTCAGTCAGTCAGCTACAACGTAGGACCAGGCACATATGTGCATCGGTCCAGGTTGCCATACCTCATTAGCACAGCAAGATGAACACCGGATTCATAGGAGTGGTTAGGTCAAAGGTTGCAATAAGGATATAGTATAGGAAGAAAGATTTAGTTCGTAGAAAGAAAGATATGAAGTGATTTTAATCTCTTAGTTTAAGGGAAGACAGGGAGTGTATACACCGACGCCATTGTGATCGATTCTGAGCCATGTCACCAAGAGTCTCCAACCATTGGTTACGAAAGTCACGCGGACCCCAACCAAGTAGTCTGCATCTACCAACATGGCTCAGACTAGAAGTTAGTGACTTCAGGCACTGATGCCACGTTTTGGTTTGGCCGCCCCTAACTTTCTTCCAACCATCTCCAAAACTGGTTAGCAGTGCACGTCGTGGTAATCGGTGTTCGGGCATACGTAGCAAGTGGCCCAACCATCTCAGTCGATGAAGATTCATAACCTCATCAACTGAATCACCATCATTCCCTAATACCCTCTATCTGTCTAACCTCACTATTACTTACCCGGTGATCCCAGCAGATGCCAGCAATATTTCTAAGGCATCTGTGGTCAAATACTAGTAGCTTACGGGTGTCTTCCACTCTTAAAGGCCATGTTTCGCTGCCGTAAAGTAAGACAGAACGGACTGCCGCGCAGTATACTCGTCCTTTTATTGATAGACGGATATCTCGCCTCCGCCAAAGGTGACGTAAGTTGGCAAAAGCCAAACGAGCTTTTCGAATCCGTGCTGAGATTTCGTCAGACACCAACCCATTAGGGCTGATCAGACTTCCAATATAAGTGAAGTTGTCGACGCGTTCGACTACTTCACTCCCTATCCTTAGTTCAGGTGTTGACGCAATGGTGGTAAAACAAAAAAGAAAGATTGTAAATAAGGATATAGTACCGGAAGAAAGAATTAGTTCGTAGAAAGTAAGATATGAAGCGATTTTAATCTCTTAGTTTAAAGGAAGACAGAGAGTGTATACATCGACGCCATTGTGATCGATTCTGAGCCATGTCGCCAAGAGTTTCCAACCATTGGTTACTTATCGTAGTTGAGATGTCCGTGTATTACTTTTCATTCATTTTATTTATTTATTAAGTACAAGTTATTATATCATGACTAACTTATCATATTAACACCGACACTACTAATAGTACTAATTCTACTATTTTGATATTAATTTTAATAAATTTTTATTTCATTGTAATGGTGTGGTGTAGAGAATTGAGGCGATGAACATTTGTGCCAGACCTTATGTATTGATTATAACAGGCTGACTGAGAAATACTTTTTTTTCATACAAGATAGTGTTAGCATTCGTATATCGAGGCCAAAGAAAACATTACGCCAAGAAATGGAGACAGAAATGAGTAAAATGAACAAAAAATGGATAAAACTAGAAAGGAAGGACCAGGACAGAGTGGGTTGGAGAATGCTGGTCGGCAGCCTATGCTCCATTGGGGGTAACAGGCGTAAGTAAGTAAGTAAAACATGACTTATTTTAATAATTGTAAATGATAAATTTAGTACATACTATAGAATCGAAGTATTAAATAAGCCCTTCTTATCATATTCTATGAACATTTAATCATAGTAATAAATGACCAATCAATAAAAGGATTCATATTGTCTTGTTGTTAATATCTAAGGATGATTTTGATCAGTCCTTGTTGGAATATGAACTCATTGAACCAATAACTCGATATTGTCAGCAATTCAAAGAAGCTCACATGTTATTAGTTTTGAATAACAATAACATGAATTACAACACCTTATAATTGACAATAAGTATCATAAAAAAAGTTGGTGGACACAGTGACTTTGTCGTAGCCTAGTGGATAACAGCTTAGTATTTGAAACAATGTATGCCCCCGAATGCCCTGGTATGGCCGAGAGTGGGGAGAGTCCGCTCTCCCTCTCGAAATGCTCTCACATGGCCACGCGTATATAGCCTCTGCCAGGGAAGTCCTACTCACTGCCTTCTCGTGGCGGGGGTGTTGTTTACAAAAATGAGAGGACAAAAAGTGAATGTCCGGAGCTTTAACCGGATTCCAAACCAATGGTGTACATGGGCTCCAGTATCCTGAAGGAACAAATGGCGTATGAACCAATTGTTGGTCACTGGCTTCCATGAGACTGCATCTCCTTACGATGCTCCACTGACTTGTGGATCAGACCTTCAGGTCGAAGGCTCGGGGTGTGGCCCCCTAAGAAAACCATCTGCTTCGGTTCGGGCACCCGGGCAGTATCACAGCCCTCACACATATCGAATAAGATTTGTGTGGCGCATATGTATTTGGTGCCTCCTTGTACCAATATCTATGTGTTAAAATAATAAATAATAATGCTGGGTTTATGTCTTATTGGTAATATAAATATATTGTCCTAAGGATGATAAAATAGTTGTCTATTTTACCGGTACTCTATAAACGAAAAATACTGAACAGAAAGAAGATGTCATCAATATAGGGGCTGACACGAATGCACATCATTTCAAGTCCAGTTAATAGCCATAATATCATATCAACAAAATGGTTTTAAAAAACAATTACGTCACTATACTGTCAAATTATGGTCTTAAATAAGGTCCAATGGAGACAAAATCAATAAAGTAGACAGAAATATATCGATGAAAACAATCTATCAACAATCAATAAATATGAAGGTGGGAGCTAAACAAGTTGGACTAAAATGTAAAATCGATCAATAGGGAGCAGGGTTAAATCCCACCTCATATATTTTTGTTTGATCAACCGGGTTATCACTAGCCAATATTATACTTAAAGGGTTCAGTCAAACATCGACTACAGAAATGTGTAATTTAATTAATTAACTAAATAATTAAAAAATAATCTCTATTCACAGTGCTTGAAGTCACTAACTTCTAGTATGAGCCATGTTGGTAGATGCAGACTATTTGTTTGGGGTCCGCGTTACTATCGTAACCAATGGTTGGAGAGTCTTGGTGACATAGCTCAGAATGGATCACATGGCGTAGGTGCATACACTCTCTGTCTTCCTTTAAACTATAAGATTAACATTACTCCATATCTTTCTTTTTTCCTGTACTATGTCCTTATATGCAATCTTTCTTTTATATATTACCACCACTGAATTAACTACTTTATGAATTCGGTGTGTGCTCACCTTGTTGTGTTAATGAGGTATGACAACTTGGACCGATGTATATATGTGTCTGGTCCTACGTTATATCTGACTGACTGTTCAAACACATAAAAAGGATCCTGATTATATGAAGTTAAGTAAACTTACTTTTTGTTCCAATAGAAGACACATAATTAAACGAAAAGTTTTCCTGATACCCATAATTTCAAAAGGCAGATTCACAGGAAAATCAACCAAAGGAAGACGTGATTGATCAGGAAGAGCAAAACACAAAGGTGAACCTAAGGTTTGCGGTTGAACTGAAAGCTGAATTATTACAGAAAGAAACAAGATTTAGATAATTTAACACGAATGTTTGTAAATCAATCAGTAAAAAAAACGGACTATGAGGATTTTTGTTAATTTAATAAGGAAATAAATTATATAACTTAAAAGTTAATCACAAACTACTGAACAAAGCTGACTAATTGATATAATTAAGCAAAATGTTGAACCAGTTAACACTGATGAATTCATGCATAATGAGCTCACTACATCACTCTTGAAATAGTCTTAGATACAGTTTACTTCTCAACTGTGGAAATCCATATCTTGCTTTCAGGTTGAGTTATGTATTTCTTTATGAAATTACGATGGTATCCATTTTGTAGTAGTATGATCCATGATTTGCCTAGCTCTCCTTCTATACTATCCTTAGAACATAGATGTCAGATTCTATTAATCAGATAATTAAATAGATTGATTTTATATTAGAGTGATGTGAAGTCGTGGATATATTGCCCCGCCTAATATTCTTTAGCTTTTTCAATTTATAACATGAATTATTTCAACTTTAATATTCTATCTACCGTAACAGGAAAATAATAACTATGGATTTTGTAACTGTACAGTCTGATAAAGAAATTACCGAAAACGATCGTTTATTCTAATACTTTTACTTTTTAAATATTGTATGGAAATTTTAGGTTTTATTTTATTTATTTATTTGAACACATAAATATTGGTACAAGAGGGCACCAAATATATATGCGCCACACCATATTTGTATGTGTGTGGACTGTGATACTGCCCGGGTGCCCAGACCGAAGCAGGTGGTTTTCTTAGGGGGCCATACCCTGAGCCTTTGACCTAAACCTCTAATCCATAAGGCAGTGGAGCATCGTGAGGAGATGCAGTCCCATGTTAGCCGGTGGCCAACTATTAATTCATACGCCATTTGTTCCTTCAGGATACTGGAGTCCATGTGCACCATTGGTTTAGAATCAAGGTTTTCCAACTCCCTTAGGTGGACTTTTCGTGTCCACCAATCCGGTTAGAGCGCCGGACATTCACTTTTCGTCCTCTCATTTTCGTAAACAACACCCCTGCCACGAGAAGACAGTGAATAGGACTTCCCTGGCAGAGGCTGTATACGCGTGGCCATGTGAGAGCATTTCGAGAGGGAGGGGGGCCCACCCCACTCTCGACCATACCAGGGCATTTGGGGGTTTTATAAGTTGAAAATACTGACTAAATTATATTAAACCATCTCTTTTAACGCTGTACTTTGGCAGTGATAAAATATTATCCAGAGTACTTCAGGGGTAGTTTATACATTAATTAAATGAGATAGGAATTTCTTGCTATACCCATATTGAGATCGAAGTTTTTCATCTGGAAAGCTTCTACTTTTAAGACTTTTAATTAATTATTTACAATCAGTAGCGTTTTTATGTGCACAAATGAAAATGAAATATGCCAAAATTTGCTTCCAACAACTTATGAAGGGAAATTAAGCAATACAAATACTTACATATACACATGTACAGCCAGGAATTGGTGCTGGTGCACTGAGAAGCCGGAGAATCCAACACTGGAACTGACGTGTGCTTTCCACAACAGGATAAGAGCATGATAGTGTAATATTACTTGTCAATACATCCCATATATCTGGACTAGAAAAGAAAATTAATGGTCTCTTTTAACAGAACAGCTATAACAAATTCTGATCGTTTATGAAACAAATGTTAAGAGCTTGATCAAGTAAAAGCTGAAAAGGAAATATAACTAAAATGTGTAACTAGCATCGGCAAAAGTAAATGAGAATATGACTTAGTAAACCACTGTGGTTTTAAGCATTAGGATGTTCTGACGACTATATGACTGCTTAAACCCTCATAGGTGATAAGTAGTTGAAACTTAGCCGAATGGCTAGTCATGATGGCAAACCTATAAGCGACATCCTGGTTGAACTTAAATCGACAATTTTTCTAACTTACTTCAGTTCGAAAAACGAATGAACTTGCGATGTCTTAATTAAAAATAACTATGGACTAAAATCATAGCCTGAGGGTATCTTCGAAACCAATATATTTGTTTTTTTTTCTAACCCTCTTACATAAACGCATCAATAAAACAAGTTATTGAAACATGTGCACACATGAGCTTATAAACGTCGTATTTTGCAAACAAGTACATCAGTAAAAGTCATGACACCTAGCACCAGTACTGAGTGCAAATCAACAATTGGAAACTTAAAATACACAGGGATCTGGGGTCAAAAAAAATCAAATAATGAATACTAAATATTCCGTGCATAATTGAAGCTCTATTCATGGCTGTTTGACTTAATGATTAACGTGGACAACTAGGAGTACTCGACGTAAACTCTAGACAATAACAGATGACATAACAATCAATGATAACATAGAGAAAACGAAACAGGTGTAACTGCATATCTGTCCATGTGGGAATTAACCGATAACAGTAAACATTTTACACAAGATAATAGTTTCACTAACAGATATCAATTAAAGCACGTTTTAATCATGAAATACAACGTAAATAGTTAGGTGAATCAAGTTTTTGGTCCTATTACATAAACGTCAGTCAGTCAGTAACAACGTAGAACTTCGTACGTACGTACATCTGTTCGAGTTGACATACCACATTAGCACAGGGACACAATGGTCGGTTGAAATCCCATAGTGGTAGAGGTGGTAAGAGCGTAGGCAGTAATCGCAAAGATTAGGGTTTGAAGATATTATTCAAGGAGTATAATAAAGTGAAAAAAATTTGGAAAGAGAAAAGAAAGGGACATGAAGAATTTAGAAGATTAGAATTCGGGAGAACACAAAGAATGAATGAACCTGCGCCATTGCAAACGATTTTGAGCCATGTCACTCAAGGTCTCTAACCATCGGTTGCTATAGTCTCGCAGATCCCAATCAGGTAGTTTACACCTACCAACATGACTCAGTCCACTTGTCAGTCACTTCAGGGATTTGTGCAATGTTTTCGTCTGGCCGCCCCCAGCTTTCTTCCAACCTACTCCTACCACATAAAACATTGCACGTCGGGGCAGTCGGTGGTTGAGCATGCGTAACACGTGTCCCAGCCATCTAAACTGTTGAAGTTTTACTACTTCATCACTTGATGAGCCATCCTTACCTAGTATTCGTTTCCTAACAACTGCGTTACTTACTCGATGGTCCCAGGATATGCGAGCAATGTTTCGAAGACACCTATGATCAAATACTAGTAACCTACGAATATCTTCTACTCTTATCAGCCACGTTTCACTGCCATGAAGTAGGACGGAGTGAACTGCTGCTCTGTAAACACGTCCTTTGGTTGATATCTCGCCTACGCCATAAATGACGCAAGTTGGCAAAAGCTAGTCGAGCTTTCAGTATCCGCGCTGAGATTTCGTCACACACCAGACCACAAGGGCTGATGCAACTTCCAAGATAAGTGAAGCGGCCGACACGCTCAACTACTTCACTGCCCATCATTAGTTTGGGTGTCGATGCAACCCAATCCTGGAGCAATATTTTGCATTTCGAGGGGGGAGGATCGCATGCCGAACATACTTGCATTGTTGCTTATTATGAAAAAAATTAAAAGAACTCTAATCTTCAAGCAGTGGAAGAAGAACGCTGCTAGTTAATTTATTTATATAACTTGTTTACCAGAGACAAAATTGTGCACTTGTTTTCCAGACAGTGAGTGTGAGGGCTGTTGATACTAACTGGTTGTCTCGAATTAATTCAGATGGGGTCAGAACATCCAGCTTAGTAGCTGAATCAAACACCTTGATCAATGAACCACTTTTCCATATGCAGTGTACACCAACGACCTCTCCAAGGATCAAAACTATAACCTTCAGGTCATAAAGTGGATGCTAAACCACCAGAAGAAATGAATTGGAATAACTATTGACAGAAGATCCCCCTGTTAAAATCTTCACATATTACTCATAAGTGATTCAACGGCAAACTGAATAAAAGGATCGAAAAGAATATATACTGAGAGAGGGACGAGTAAAAGCCTCAATCATTCAACGAATCCTTCGCCCAGATCAACATATCATAAGATGATCTTGGTTACGAAGTGATAGTGAAATTCTGGTTAGAGCGATAGGTTAAACGAATTTTTGATATAAAATGGTGAAATTTGCTTTCATTATATCGTGCAATCAGCTGCTAGAATATAATTGGCAGGACATTACTCAAGAACTGAGGAACATAAAAAAACTTATTTAAGTGGCTAATATTTGGTGGCAAACTTTAGGCCTTGAACTTCACTAACAACAGAAATACCTAAACTCGAAAATTGGCGAAAGTGTGACTTATGAACGGACCAGTCAGATTCACGACAACAGGCCTTGGATTTCGACGCAAAACTCATTATCCATCTGGCTAAACAGTGCCTTGGCATTTTAGCTTGTGTCAGTTCGTCGTTAGATCAAAGAAATGACGTTTATACACCACTACATGATGCACAAAACCAAGTCTGGAGAGGCATCTATACGCTTTCCTAACATCGGTATAGCCGCAGCTAATGTTACTGGAGACTTTATGATCCAATTTGCAACGATTATCATGGTTTGTCTTAGCCTTAGCCGTGACCGGGTAAAAAAAGTGCCAGTTCGAGCAGATTTTTTTCTACAACATATAGTACAACGAAATACAATGTCATCGCGGCAGTCTGCACATCGTGCTGCGGTCATTTAATTGCCGCAGTCACAGACACAGGAACTTCCTAATATTCCCATCTGCTGTAGTCTCTCAACGATCACCTATTCTCTAAAATCTGCTGTAAAACGATCGAATGTGAGCATCCCGCACTGAACTTAGCGCCATGACCTTGAAATTCCTTAAACGCTTCTGATTGGCTCGTCCATAAATTAGAGTCCTACCGTGAAAACCGTAAATCTAATCCTTCTTCCTAACCATCAACTGTAATTCACAATCCTTATCCTCCACACAGGTTTGAAACCTTCATTTAGCCCTAGTCAGTAAGTGGACATCCTCAAGGCCACTTTAGCGTCGCTTAAAGATCGTTCATAAATTATGGTCTCACCCGAAAATTTGGTAGAAATGCCAACATGAAATTGCAAATGCTTCGATCTTACCTTTCCACACAGCTGGGTTTTGACAATTTGTGTAGCTTTTTTAAAATTACATGTACACATTGCACAAGCCGTGCAAACGTTGTAGCAAAAGGATAATGAGTGATTAAACAGATTGACGTTAAGCTATAGACATTATTTGTATTTTTTAGTTTTCCAGATGGTAAGGATTTATCCGGGATACTTTCATTCGAACATGGAACTGGTCCATTACCAGATACGTCGCTAAAATGTGTGCCTTCCCTGCCATTTGGATATGTAGTTTTACTCACACTTCTAAGGTTGACTGGTCTGAAGAAGTTGGTGCAAATACCATACCGTGTTTTACTGGAATCCTTATCAGTTAGCGAAAATAAAAATGTCATTGACTTTATCCCATCAAGGTTATTATCCAAAGATTTTATAGGGAATGTGTTGCTGGAAGTATTAATACATCCTTCTGGCTGACAAAAGAAAGACACATCTGTAGGAAGAGGGAAATCCTTGTGGTTTGTGGGAGGAAATCGACAAAGAATCTCGGGAGACTGCACTGAGTACGCATTCCCAGGTAATCGCGAACCAACCAGTACAAAATAGTCTATCAAACGCGGACATATATTTGACATTGAAGCACTAAATACATCCGACGACTGTCCTACTTAAACCGCTACACCCGTATTGCCCACATATTGCTAATGACCATGAGACAAGAATTATTAAAACAGTAAAACAAGAAATTGCAAAAGCAAGAACCTACGGTGTCTTATTATGACTAGTATTCACTGTTCATTAACAAGAATGCCACGTTAGTTGACACTCTCATTGGTAAATGTATAAGTCCTAAGTGAGAGACCTTACCATATAATCTTCTAAAGTCTATTGACATTACACTGACAGACAGACTACTACCTTGAGCAGCTGTCCAACTACTTCTCGTGATTACTAAGTTGGTTAAGCACGAGTGTTTATTACGAAACCCATGTTGTTTAGGAGTTAGCACATTGTGGGACTCTACGCGACCTAGTAAGTAGCCGAATTATTCCCTTAATTATTTTAACTACTATGTTGGTTAGAATGGTTAATCGGTCGTCAGGCACGACTTATCTCTTTCTGCACTTATATACAGAGTAAGTAATAGCACCCGTGCTACATGTCGGTAACATCATCGCAGTGCTTTGTGAAGTGGAAGGTCAACAATGATGGTCCATGTTCTATGTCTGTCTTATTTGTGCGATACACCGTTTGATAAGTTAACGTCAGAGAATCTACCTGAGGTTGTGAGCTCTAATCACTTGGTGTGTACGGTTGAATTTTTCACCGATGTGACAATGATCATCCTTACTTCGCGTGTGAGTATTACTTAGAAAAACGTTGCCAGTATGACAACTTGGACTACGGTATGTTCCTCCTATAATCACTAATCCCTTTCTAAACTTGGCTGTACAGTCAGATACCTCATGTTTACCTCTATATAATATTAGGCCTCCTGTCTCCCAAATTTTAACCTTACCACTTCTAATACAGACAAACCATTCAACATCCGGAGAAAAACTCACATTTGTAGTTAGCCACATTTCTGCGGCAAAAGCTTATTGGGGAAGCGATTCTCCCACTGTAGTTACAGTTCCGACGTCTTAATTAAGAAACTATTAACGTTTGTGTGACCCACACAGTTTTTTGAGAGCACTACTTATGCAAGTATAATAATACCTTCTTCTTTAGCATTCAATATATGCACGATGTCTAGAAATTTCGGGTATTTTTCGCCCATGTGGTGGGTGCACGCGGAAGAGTATAATGATCGCTGAAGGTTTCACTGAAGGCATCTAAAACTATCAACATCTGTTATGAGTACTCCAATAAAACCCATCTCAGGATGCCAAATTTAATAGCTAATAACGTAGAGGTTTGAGCTCAAAACGAAATCGTTAGCAAGGATTATTCTGTGAAAGATAACATTCTCATACTAAGTGAACCGAAAAGTGTGTCAAAAAAGCTATAGGTTCACAAAAGCCTGTCCTATCTCATGAAAGTTAGATAGTTTACAATAGGCTGTACCTAGACATTTCGGATTACGGCGTACAGGATATTATTTATTCAGAATCGATTTCAAAAATCCCTTAAGCAGACATACTTGAAAATCCTCCTATCTATGCCTTTCCGTTCGACTAGTCCCTAGTTTCTCCATCATAAAAAGTGCTTGATCTGTTGTTAACTATGTCTTCAAATATCCCTTGTTCATTTGGTTTGATTGCATTCATTAGCTCTATAGCTTCTACAACTTTTGGAATGTTGTCAACTCTTGGATGTCGTCGGAGTATAGATTACTATTCCAATTATGTTTTACAGAGCATTATCCTATCCATGACTTATTAAGAGAATGAATAAATATAAGGTATGGACATGCTGTCATATGATCTGACCCATATTGTCAGGTCTATTTGTTCACACTGGTCCTCCTTGACCTTAACAACGTTCGTTAAACAAATTAACAAATTAAAGCCCAGCAAAATTTTACTGGCCCGTCGTTGCAACAAGCGGGTATGGAGCTTTGATGAGATATGCGTCTGACAAGGCCACAGTTTAAAGGAGATGCCATTTTTGAACAAACTATAACAATAATATCACACAACCAGTTGGTTCATCTACATGAATATTACGTTATATATTCCCACTGACTTTATCTTTTCAGTAGCATTGCCTGGGTAGTAACTTTTCCGTAAACACATGTAAATTATTATTCATGTTCATCCAATCAGACACTAGCAATGTCAGGTTGATCACTTTCCAAACGAATTCCACTGATCTCACTTTTGAGATTATATTGAAGATAATTTTTAAGCAAATAGTGTGAAGTTCTAAGTAGCTTCATCAGTTGGCGGATTAACATAACATATCACATGAATTCAATGCTAATACATGGAACCTCTTTTTCAGAACAGACAGTTCAACGTTGCTCGCTTACTTAGGCTTGAGATCGTGACTAACAATTTTCTATCAAATCCACACGGGATAACTTTGTGCAAAAATTGAACGACATATAAACGATTTATTACCTATCTTATTTAAAAATATATCAGTGGACATTTGTTTTTCCACACTAACTTGATCCCCCAACTCATCTAATGAGTACAGTTTTATGTAGTCACTGGTGAGCTGCACTGCCACTACACATTTTAAAACCATCTAGTTAAAACTGGGTGCCAGCTCGACTGATTTCATAGCCCATATTGCTAGTTTGTATAAATGATTAGTTTGCTATTCATTTATCACATGACCTTACTTGCATCATACAACTTTGGTTACCAGCTATAAAGTATTGGTGAAAAATACCCATGTTACACTGATTACCATGATGAGACTATAATTTATGGACGACCGTGAGGTGACGCCAAAGTGACCTTCAGAATGTCCACCTACTTACTGGGGCTAAATGAGGGTTGAGATGGTGGAGAAGATTTGTAACTAAGGTCCATGATTTTGATGGAGTTTTGTTCTCTGAGCTGGATGGTTTGGTCGTGGAGCTTTTGTCGTTCTTCTGAACTAAATTATTAGTAAAGTTTTCAGGCAGAAGTGAATTGTTTGAACTTTTCTGCATATGGTTCACAGCTGGTCCTGTAGACCTCGATTTGATTGGCTCTTGTTGACCTTAAACCTGTCATTATCCATTGTATCTTGTAGTTTCCTCTTTTGATCCTCTATGACTTATGTACGATGCGAGTTAAAATGTGTGCTGCGGGATTATCAGCAAAAGCTTAGAAACTGTTAGCCGACGAAATCAAAACGATGTGTTTATGCAAATACGTGTAATTAGTGAACGTTTGTAGCGTGGTGTCGAGTTGAGATTAACCATGAACACCGCTACCAAGAAACACGTGCCAAATAGTTCAGAAGGCGTAAGAAGCTCGTTCCAAATGACTCCATAAAATCCCCGAGAAGCCGAATACCAGAAGGCAATTAATGGACCAAGTCGAGGTTTATTTGCTGGCGATCTCGTGGCATCGAAAGGATACCGAGATCGTGCCAGGATACAAGCTTGGTTACAGAACGTAACCGAAATCGCGCGATGTCACAATCAAAGTGTAAGTATAAGAATGGAAGCACAAAATAGCTGTCATTAGCACAGTCAAACAAAAGCACGTTAAAACAAACACTGGTACACTTGGTTATAATAATAATTGTTTTTATTAAACCAGTCGTGTTCTCGTGATAAACGTGAGTCACTGCACGTTAATCAATAAAACTTGCGAAAAGTGAACAGTATTAATGGAAGACAACTTGAACAAAGTTTTTTAGGTAATGCAATATTTGCTTATATTTAATGGAATTATGATAGAATACAAACAAAGACATAAATCGTCTACGAATTAAGTTTATCTCAACTGATCCTATCATACATAAATAAGAACGACAAATATAGGCGGATGTTACTGTTTTCAGAATTTACTCTGATATATGGGAATATTCTTATGTATATATGAAAATGCTACATCAAGTCAGGGAATTTACGAATCAGTGATCATAGCGAAATACTGAGCGGGAACACATATTGGATACAAAACTGCCGTAGGAAAACGCATCGAGACAATCAAGTTCCAGATGTATTGCGCAAATAAACTTCGTCTTCTCATTGAAGTATTGAAATTTTTTGTAGAATTTTACATAGAAATGAAAAAAGCAATGGCTTCAATGACTATAGTCTTTCGGAATTACTTCAAATGTGTACAGTGAACAATCGTTTTGTCTTCGGAAATATTTCTTATAAGGATTTTGATGGAATGGTTATGTAAAATCCAAACTAAGGTTTGGACTGAAGGATAACTGACTAGGTGGGTTAGATACGCGCCCTTGCCCGTTTGAAACCAAAGCAAAGTAATTGGTTAAAATGACGGTTCTATAATTCATCATAAATTTAAACGTACATTGTTACCTAAACAAATATTACCACTCAGTTATCCAACCAATAATTGTTCAATTAATGGAATCTCAATTACAATGAATAAGCAAGTTGACAAAGGATGTAAGAAACCTACCAATCACAACAAATAAATGTTATTCTATCCTGTCTGGATAGACCACGCACAGATTCGTTCAAATGATAATATTTGGTTGCTTTGTAACACAGAGTGTTTCCAATTCTGGAAGAGTGCCTCAATTCACAACCAAAAATGAACAATTCCAGTCAACACAGGCAACGCAATCAAAGGGGGTAAAAACCAATATGGCTGCCGCCAAGACTTAGTATAAAGTAAAACAACATAAGTGCACTTCGGGAAGAAACAAAAAAAATTTAGTGAAGGCGTAAGAAAAACAAAAACTATAATAAAAAATACAAATATTAACATTTCAAATGTCATAAAAAAACTAACACTGTACAACTAAGGAGATTACTAGGAACAAAGTGCAAATATATACATGGAGGGATTTTCACACTCACACAAAACATTCAAACCGGATCTTACAGGTTATGGTCTTATTCGAGCTGATTTCTTCCTAGCGAAATGAAGAAATTCATCATACAAGAAAGTGATTGATAAACTACATCTGTACTGCTTTCACAGCAACGATACATTCGTAATTGTGGATCCTAATATTAATAAAGTGGAACTCTCATATCAATTAAATAGTTTGCACTCTGCAATCGCTCTCAACAGTAGGGGCTAGTGCGCATGAGCATGAGCTCCTATGCATGTCAATATACAC